ATTAATTTGGTATGAAACTAGACCTAAAATTTAAAAAAAATAAACAAATGTGATGCGATCAAGCCATTTTTTTGTTTGTTTACAGATTTGAAAAGAGCACAATCTCAGCATTACTGCTGTGAAAACCGCATGCTGGTACCATCTTTAGTTCAAAAATTATGAAAGTCGGAACACCAAGAGATGTGATGAAGTGATATGATGAAGTGGCCCTATTTCGGCATGAATCTCCAAATGAAAGTTCCCGACAAACGACTCATTTAGCTTGATCGCATCAAACAGATAGTGTTGTAACAAAGGTCAGATATTGACCCGCATTCATTAAAATTTTGTATTATAGGTTAGATCTGTTCTAACAAAACAAGATAAACTTCTCACTTCTGACACAATTGCTGAGTTCTGACACACAGCTGAGTTCTGACACACAGCCGAGTTCTGACACACAGCCGAGTTCTGACACACAGCTGAGTTCTGACACACAGCTGAGTTCTGACACACAGCTGAGTTCTGACACACAGCTGAGTTCTGACACACAGCTGAGTTCTGACACACAGCTGAGTTCTGACACACAGCTGAGTTGGGATCATGAGTTTTTCCTTTGAAAGGGTTTGCTCGTCACAAAGGTGTTTCTGAGTAGTAACTCAGGAACACAAGTAAAGAGTTTTTAACCAGTTTGCGCCAGGATTATTTTGACACTGACCGGACCAAGGCGCGAGCTTGTTTTTTTCATGAACCTCAATGCCAGACGGGTTCAGGCCGTCATCTACAGGTATCACACCCTGATATTTCCGACCTTGCTCGCTGCGAGCGGGTCGCAGACAGATATTTCTGGCCTCGGTCGTTGCGTGTTTATCTGTCATCCGTTCCGAATACCGCAAAACCTTTGCGTCATTCGACATGAACTGGTTAAAAACTTCTTGTGTGACCTACTCCTCGTTTTGAAAGAACGGGTCTGATTTTGGTGCTAATATGCTATTCTTCATAGCTTGCCTCCCTCTCTATTGCAGAAACCCCGCCCCTTTTCCCCCTCCCCCTTAAGCATCTGGACCGCAAATTACAAGTTTAGAAACATGCTTTTACATGTTCAAAGCTAAAATCAAAAGGCATACATCATTTGGCGAGTTGCATTATACTTTTTTAATCGTGAAAAAGCTTCATTATCGTGTACATTTTAAAAAGCAATATAACTCTCTCTTTAACTCCAAACAGTGTTGTGAAAAGAGACCAAATAAACCGGAAAAACAGTTTCTGAAAATGTACAATTTATAGGGACATCTCAAAAACAGTGAAAACATTTTGTAAACACAATACAGCACAACTCATAAACTTGAAAAATAGCGCTGTCAGACCCCATGTATTTGTTGAACATGTTATTAAGATAGTCCAAATGTAATTTGCCATGCTTTTCTCATCGTTTTGTGGAAACTTATTCCAATTAGACAAATTTTGCCAATGACAGACACGAACAAATACATTTGTCATATGTACATGTAGTCAGTTTACAGCATAATACTGCAGAATCTCTTCTTGTTTTTTTTTACAATGTTGTTACAACTACTTCAATTGTTGATCTACATGTATCTATACATGTACATGAATTTTCTTTATGTACAACCTGAAAATAACAAAAAGGGAAGACCTTGGGTTTATAAACATTATTTTTATGTTTATAAACAATAAACAAACATGACAAAAACAACAGAAAGTCAGTTGACAAGACATTAAAAATAGAAACCAAAACTAATATTTTGTTATCCTCCTAAAAGCAAATGGAATAATGGTCAACAACAAATTGTGATTGTACACCAAAGAAAGGGGGCTCCGTGTGAGATGCTTTCAGGAATACTTGTGAAAGTTCTTCATTGCGTTATTACTGTATTCATGGTTTTATTAGGAATACTCCATGCACGAGCATTTTTCAATTGGAGAACACGAGATGCAACATTGCTTTCCTAATTAAGCTGTTCTAACAAACTGTGGCTTGGATTTAAGTCATTATGGTACAAAATATCTGCTTTTGACTGAACATACATGTATGTATGCACATGTAGTACATGTGCCATGTTGTCAGCTGGAATGTACTTTATGTACAATGTACACATACAATTGTACATCATCTGTTTGAGGAATTTATATTATATAATTTGGGCGATTCACAATGCAGTGCGCCACCATTACTTTACCACAGAGAGTTCATTTTTCCAAGTGCATTGTGGGAGATGGTCGACAAATTCGCAGGGCGGTACATTTGAAATTGTTAGTTTTTCCGGTCAGTAATTTCGTAAGCCCATGATTCAAGGGGGTGTTTGCCCTTTTGTTTTCTTTTTATCAACATGGCGTTTTTTGGTAAGGCGACAGAACGCTATGCCCCAATCTATAACAAATTAGCTCAAGTTGTCTACTGACACTCATTCAAATTGTTCATGTTTTGTCGACCGTAAACTTGAAAAATGGACTCTCCATGGCCAACTCTTGGTGGCGCACTGCATTGTGAAGCAGATGGACAACTTCTTACAGAAACTGAATCTACCATAGTGAGGCTTTAAACATCCCCTTCTCAAAAACTGTCTCAGTAGTTTTTGGGCAAGACACAGCAACAAACTGTGGCTTGGATTTAAGTCATTATCTTTTCAGAAACAAGTTTAAGTAGTTTTTGTTAATGCTTTAGTAGCTGGCTTAAAAATCAATCTACATGTAAGTACAAGTAAAAAGCTTTTGGCATGTTTGGCAGTAAACAACCCTAATGAATCGTTGGTTGGAATGAGACACAGTAACACAAGTTTTCCTTAAAAATATTAACCGCTCTTCTTTCAAAATCAGATTACCCTTTACTGGAGTAGCAGCTTAAAATTAGGAAACAGTTAAGTACACACTAATATAAACCAGTAAGAGCAAAAGTTAGGTAAGATGCTATACAGCCCTCTGGTGGATATAGAATTCCATGGGATATGATCGCGTAAGACGCGTGTTCGCAAAACCAGTAACGAACGCACTGACGTAGACCAGACCTCGGCGAACAAAATTGGGCACAAAAGTGCCAGGAATTTAACGGTTTTTCGCTGTAAAATTGAGAAAAAAACCTACAAAAGTGCAGCCAATGTCGCACAAAAACAAGACACGACAAAAACTGGAAAAGACAATGTCGTTCCCAGGTCGAGCACGGGAAATGTGGCCAACAGAATCCGCATCTAACTACACGTAAAAAAGTGGCGGCAACACTGAAATATCGGCAACTTTGAGCCAGCTGACCAAAACTATGACAGATTTGACAAAAGAGGTGAAGGACATGAAACAAGTTTGAAATTTTTCAAGAAGGAGTTGTCTCATTTGGATAAGTGCATATTTTTTCATCTGTTAACCTTTTACTGTAAGTCACTGTACCGCCCCGAAACCGCCCTGCCTATAACTCTCTGTAGCACCAGAAACCGCCCGACCACTCACATTTTTTTACTGATTTTTCAGTGAATAAACACAATGTAATACAGTCAAACCCTGATAATAATACCGTAGCACTGCTAAAACAACATCCTGCTTACAACAAGGAAACATTTAGGTCCTAAGTCTTTGTGTTTCTTTTTTTTTTCATTACTGATAATATGGGTACCTGTTATAACAAGGGCCCAATTTCATAGAGCTGCTTAAGCAGAAAATTTGCTTAAGCACGAAAAAACATTGCTTAGTAAAATTAGGTTACCGGCCAAAACTCCATGTGATGTACATTGCTTGTGACTGGTATTTAGCTGTTGTTTACTTAGCATAACAATCGCATGGAGTTTTGGCCGGTAACCTGATTTTATTAAGCAAGACGTTTTTGTGCTTAAGCAAATTTTGTGCTTAAGCAGCTCTATGAAATTGGCCCAAGGTAATTTGTAAAGTCCCAAGGGAACCTTGTTATATAAAGGTGTTGGACTGTATAATGTACAATGTAATACGGGTGCTGATGGAAGTGGATATGGTTTCATCTAAAGTGGATTTTTTTTCCTATAGCAGAACTACAAGCTCGGCCCTGATTCTGATATTAACTAATGAACTTAAGCAGAAACTTTTGCTAAGAGAATGTATCTGCTCAGCAATAAAAGCGGAGAACCAGTCACCAGCAATATACGTACATGTCAATCACACAATATTTTGGCTGGTAACCTGGTTCCTTTTGTATATTGGCTTAACCAGTTCGCGCCGGAGGCCGTGTAAACACGTAACAGTTTTGCGGTATTCGGAACGGATGATGGATGAACATGCAGTGAGCGAGCCCAGAAGCATCTGTCGGCGACAAATATGAGTGTGCTGCCCGAGGGTGATGGCTTCAACCCGCCTGGCTTGAGGTCGAGTGAAAATAAATCCCATGCCTCGTTCCGTTCTTGTCAAAATAATCCCGGCGCGAACTGGTTAATAGCAGCCTCATGAATTTGGCCCCAGATTCAGATAAAGCTCCTGCGTATTTAACATCTTTTGAAAACTGGCTGTCTCCCACTGTTTAAAGGGAATATACATCATTTGCTTTTGCCGTAATTTTTTGAAATGGATGGAATTGGGGGGTTGGATATATATAGCAAATATAGTTACACTGACTTATTTGAGGTTTTGGGTTCGAAAATGCTATAAAAACCAAGAAAAACAATCATTTTCCTGTAGTCTGGTTCCCTGACTCCATAAAAGAAGAAACAGAGCAGTTTACATACATTGGGGAATTGTAAGGTCAGGGAACCAGTCTAGCTGGCTTGTACCCGTTCATAGGTGTATAATCGATTGCAAACAAGTGCTATGGTCAATTGGGGCCAGTATTTGAAAAAAAGCCAGTTTTTTCCAACGCTGGTCGGCTGACCAGCGTTGGAAATTGATACAAAAATACCACTTTTCTTGAAAATGACAGCACACCAGGTGGCATGATTTTTCAGGATGCTTTACACTGTCATTCACTAACAGTCCAGCAAGGTATTTCAAAATGATTTGGTAGTTTTATTTTTTGATGTTTGCAAATGTTGTATTTTCCCTTTAATAAGGGAATAAATCTGTGCTTGGCCAGTTATAAACAAGTCTGTTTAAGACCGGTTTGGGGATTGCACGCTGATAATATCCCAAGCTTAAGACGAGGGACAGTGGAAGTTGTGCTGTAGTGCCCCATACGTGACAGTAACACAGCAGTTCCGGTACACAGCACAAGTCAGTACGTAATTAATGGCCAAACTTCGCATAAGTGCCAAAACTTTTGGGTTCCATGTCCCAAAAGTTAACTTTCTACAAAACATACCTTTCGCTAAAGAATCACCACATGCCCTCCTTCCGACACAAAAAGAAGAAAACTCTTAAGGCATATGTTGTTGAGTCAACTGCATAGATGGAGTTCTGTAACTACAGAGCCTGCTACACTGCTGCTAAAATTCGTCCTCTGAACTATCCGCCAATAGCTTCATCCGATCGAAGTTGCCTTTCATTTCGTGGTCCTGCAATAAAATAAAGAGATCGATATATACATTTGTAAATACAAAAAAATGCATTGACAACTTCTGTGTAAAGATAATCCCATTACTTCCTTAACCACCTGAAACTACCCTAGAACTGTCTTGTTTTAACCCTAACTCCCTAGGCCTTTTTGCTAGGATGTAGCCTCAATCCTGCAAAATCCTCCAATTGGCCTCATGGAAAAATAGCATATAGACTCAATCCTGCAAATTCCTCCGTTGTTTCTTGAATATGGTCCATGGAGGGGTGACCACTGCCTGAATCCTGCAAAATCCTGCGGCTATGACTGTCAATAGGCTGAGGCAGAGGCATTGACATCCTAGAGCAGTGCGGAGGATGTCAAGTATAATCAAGGACTAAATTTATGCATGGCTGAGCATAAACAACACAAGGTCCGGTCCAAGACCTTGACACAGTGCGTACTCCGGAATCAGCAACGCACTTTGGCCATGTAACCTCAATCCTGCAAATTCCTCCAATTTGCAAAAAGGATTTTGGAGGATTCAGGGCGGTTAGGGTTAGGGATTCATCATAAAATATATTGTAGCATTGGTGTTAACTGGTTAGTAGTTACCCCTTCTTTCACCTCCCTAAGTGGTTATTGAGGCTTTTGTGAAGTGCTTGCTAGCAGTGGGCTTAAGTCTAGAGGGACCAGTGAGCCGGCTTCGTGTGTAATGACTTTAACATGGCCTGTCACTTGCACTGCTTGCACAGTATGAGGCCCAGAAATGGACAGGTCTATTATTGTTTTTTGGGAGGAGGGGTGCCCCAGTTTCATGGTCTATGGCATACAAAATGGTGAAGAATCCTTGAAATAAATCCAGCATCCCGATCACGTCCAAAATCCAATCGATTCGTACTTTTAACAAGGACCTCACCAAAACATATTTCATGAAAATCCATCCACAACTTTCTGAGTTATCCTGTTAACAGACAAACCGACCAAAACAGATGAAAACACCCATACTGAAATTTGTATTCTTGTGGAGACATTTCTTTGTTCTCGTGTAGTAAAGTTTTCGAGTTTGAAAGTGAAGTTTCAAAATGCTCTTATTTTAACCAGAATTAATTTCCTTGGCTGAAATTCGGACTTAATATCCCTTTTTTAAAACTCTACCATTTGCGACCGATCAACCCACCTTGGAAATTCCTAGTTTTTGAGTAAAATCCATGTATCTATTTCGTGAAAATCTTGTGGAGACGTATTCATCTACAGAAATTGCCCTTTGGAGACGTATACAATCTTTTGTTTCCTATTGTGTGCACGTCTCCAGAGGGCACAGTGTATCAACACATAACCTCCTTGGCGGGAGTTAATACACTGTATACATGCGTGTATCACTCTTCAGTGGGAATGGCAGTTATGGCACTTTACCTTTCCATTGTGCAGCAGTTTCCTTCGGCCTTCGTTCCTTTCTTTCTTCTTGCAGGCGCGTATACCGTAGGCAAAGCAAATGATGAGGATCGCCGCTACAATGCCCAGAACAACTGGAAGCATCAGCTTAGAAAACACCGAGTTGTTCTGTTCAAATGCCCAAAAAAAAGAAGTGGTTCTTCAACCCTAAGGAGTCATCTAAATAATAAAGGAAAACATTCGGGACCCCCCCCCCCCCCCCCCCCATGGCTTATTGCATCTCGGTCAGTGATATCTGGATGTGGACAATCCTGCTCAGGTAAGCAGTGGCTGACGATGATTCTTTGTAAGATTCCCCAAAGTAACCCTATTTGGAGAAATGCTCTCCACATATAAATTTGCCCTATTTGCCAAAGTCCACTGATTTTTGATGGGTTTGGGACTCTACAATGCAGCCATTATTTCTTCACATTGGAATCAGCATATAATTTGCCACTGGTGACAGATTTTGGCCATTGGTGTCAGATTTTGGCCACTGATGTCAGAGTTTGGCCACTAGTGACAGATTTTGGCCACAGCGCTGGATTTTGGCCACTGGTGTCAGATTTTGGCCATGGGCACTGGTGACAAATTATGGCCTTTGGTGACAAATATTTGCCATTGGTGTCAGATTTTGGCCACTGGTGACAGATTTTGGCCATTGTTGTCAGATTTTGACCACTGGTGTCAAATTGTGGCCATTGTGTCAGATTTTGGTCACTGGTGTCAGATTTTTGCCATTGGTGTCAGATTTAAGCCATTTGTGTAAGATTTTGGCTACCGGTATAAGATTTTGGCCTTTGGAATCAAACTTAGGCCACCAGTATCAGACTTTTTTTTTGGCCAATTGTGAATCATTGTGTTTTTCATTTTTGAAAGATTCCCACATCTGGCCATCACTTACCTTTCCCTTAAATGCCCTATCAGCTATCAGAACATGATAACGTGATAACATGTCCTTAAAAGTCAAAATTAGCAGTGACACATTTTGAATTTTGGCCATTGGCGACAAATTCTGTCCACTGGTCACAGTTGTGCCTAATCATACTTATAAATACTTACAGCTGTGTCGGTTTTTTCAGTACCGGTACCTGGGATAATGGAAAACAGAAAGAAAACAGGTCACATTTAAAATCATCATGTGATATACTTGAGGTGATGTAACAACGTGACTAAACCAGGGTAGGCCTACCGGTACATGGGTAGACTGGTTCCCCTCCCCTATTGTGATCAATAAGGTAGACCCGGGAACCAGTCTACTTGTAAGGTGGATCTGCTTTTGTGCAAAAAAGCAACCCAAAATTAAAGCCTTTTTGCCAGATGGTTGCAGACATTTCAGAAAGTATTTTTTTCCCTTAGAACAAAATAAATAAACAACATGTCGAACAGAAAAACAAAGCAACTTTGTTTACAGCACAGATACACATGTAGTACGGTTTTTTTTAAGAAGAGATATTTTACCACAGGGTCGGGCTCTGATGACGTCAATACATGTATCTTAGTGGTTTATTTTTTCCATAAAATAAAATAAATAAATCAAATTAGGTTTTGCCCTTCACCAACGTTTTAAACACTGTATACTCAGTGTGTTACCTCCCGAGTGAAAGTTGGAAAAAATCACTCGGGTGGGACTCGAACCCACGACCTCCTGCTTTCTAATGCAGATGTTTTTGGTTTTTTTCCAACTTTCACTCGGGAGGTAACACACTGAGTATACAGTGTTTAAAACGTCGGTGAAGGGCAAAACCTAATTTGATTTACATCACCCCGGCGCAAAAAATTCCATCTTATAATAAAATAAATAAACAAATTGTCGAACAGAAAAATGAAACAAATGTGATTACAGCACAGATAGGGCTCTTTTTTTTAGAAGAGATATTTACCAAGGTCAGGCTCTGATGACGTCAAAACATGTGTCTTAGTGGTTCCCTTCGGCTGGCTCCCATCAGTGTTAACAGGTTTATGACCCTCAGTTATTGGGACTTTTGTGCTGACCACTGGCTGGACTGGTGCAGCTGTCTTTGCCAACAGAGTTGTGGGGACCACATTCAGTTCCGTTGGCTTGTTTGTTGTCGCCACAACTGGTTCTGGTTTCTGCGTTGCAATTTTTGGTTCTGTAGTTGCTACTCGCGTCGTGGTTGTTCTTTTTGTTGTCGTAAGAATGGGTGTCATGGTACTGACTGTGGTTGTTTGGAGGAGGGTGGTATGTGCTTCTACAGTTGTTGTAATGACCTCTTCTCTCTTTGCAGGAGCTGTTGCAACTGGTGATTTGGATGGCTTCTGTGGTGGCGTCTGTTTGCTGGGCTTTTGCGTTGTGGTGCCAGTTGCCTTAAGAGTTGTTTTGACAGTGGGGAGTAGAATTGCGGATCCTTCTTTGGGTGTAGCTAGGGTCGTCAGAGCTTGTTTTGTTGGGGTTGGTGGAGTAGGACTTTCATCAGGAATGGCGGTTGTGAATAGCTCGGCAGCATCGTCAGAAGATTCTGACGTTAGCGGTATCTCTGTCGTGGTGATATCTCTGTCAACTGTGTTAAGGCCCGACTCCACTGTTGTCGTATCTGTCAAGTCAGTTGTCAACTGTGCTGTACTGGGGATCACCCCATTTGGAGTCACAATAGACTTCGATGATGCAAGACCAACAATGCACGATAGGTTAATGATACCTAAAATCCATGTTAGCGCTGACGCAGTGTTGGACTTCATTTTGGTGACCAACTTGATACTGTCTCTCTTTCAGATAGTTGGAGGATGAATGACAAGGCAGCGTTTTCAATCAATATCTAGATGCTGTAAAATACGGGGGGAAATATACAATCAGGTAATAGTATACAATTACCAAAAAAATACCTTTTGACCGGTCGTGCTATTTAGCGTCAACAACACGATCAGTGTCAACAAAACATCAACAAGCTCAAAAATGAACTCTTTTCTTGGGCTTCAAAAAAGTTATCATTACAAATACAATATCACCAATTTGATCATTTTCAAAAGACTCTCAAATAGGTGACATTAATTCTGTAAAAAGTTTGGGAAATTCACTTTCACAGTTCCACATAAAAGAAGTATTTTTAGCAACAATTTATGGCCCCTTTGACACATGTTTGACACTCGCACTCGCATAACAATCCAGTTTGTGCACAAACCTATGGGACAGTGAACAGATGAACCACACACGGATCAGCTGCTGAGGACCAATTTTCATTTTACTCACCACCTGGAACTCAATTAACTCAACAAAGCGATACCATATGGTGTTACCATTGAGGTAGCGTTAGCATTTAAATATAATCGAACTTGTGAATATTATACCTTATCTTGCCATGACCATGATGCATATGACGAAAGCCTCGAAGAGCCGCAAACTAAACTAATTCCACGTCGGCAATTTTGACCACCAAGTTCAGATACGACATTTTGCTGGTATCCTGCTGCGCAAACTGAATGAAAATATATTATATTGATGTTTCGGGCACCAGCGAATAAATCAAGATGGCAGCCCACATGGAGATCGAGGCAGCAGATCGTGGCGGCTATGATTTCAAGGCAGACAAGTACCCAAAAGAAATCACCAACAGTCTTCGTGCATTCCAAGATTCATTAACCGAGGTGGAGAACGTTCTGGCTCCGTTACGAAATGCTTCCATGGGTGACGTTCACAGCAAGGTACATTGTAAATTCGTACTTTTATGGCGTGCGCGCCCATTAATGACATCGCATACAACCCGCATACACAGTCCGTCACAGCGCTATCTAATTCTACCTCCATGATGTACCCTAACGTGGCGCGGCCCCCAACGTGGCGCACTTTGATTGTTCGCCTGTAGCGCCTAGCTAGAGCAATAGTTTTAACTGAAATTTCACAGAAAGTGAAATTTCATCAAGTTCTAAACACTCCCGTTCATAAATCGCGAGTTTATTTACCCGTTACAAAGTTAGAAGAAAAAATTATTTTGGCGTGATTTTCCGCTTGTATTTTCAAGTGCAAAGTGAACCCTTTGAAAATGCCCTGAAAATATAAGAAAATAATTTTCTGAAAAACATCTGGCTTGGTATGTTAGTAGAGATAATAATGATTTATCAGAATTTATCAAGTTTCTTAAATGTTAATTTGGAATATATATATAAGTGCTTAAAATTTATAACATTGACAAACGTATATTTCCAGTTCTAAAATAAACTAAGAAGGACAAAATTGTTCTTCTTAAGTTCTTGTACTTTTAATATTGCCCCATGACTGTCTGTTTGTGTCTTTGTGTTATATTACATAACTTGATATTCAAGCGGTATATACTAGTCATAAAGATTTGATGGAAAGAATGTCGCAACCTGACGCTACTTCAGCGGTTGTGTACAAAGTCTATGGAGAGTCAAGAATTTCCTAACAAAATTGGAAATGTGTTTCAGTCCCAGATTCATGTGTTATCATCATTTTTGCAACGAATTACCTTCATTGAGATGATATATGGAGAAAAAAGCGGTGTCAGGTTGCAACACTCTTTCCCATTTGATTCCTGTATGCTGTCCATATTACCCCAAACTATATACATGTACGTGTAGTTCCAAGAGGAGCTTTTAAAATTTTAGGGAAGAATGGACTTCTTGGCCAAGAATTAAATGTTCCCTAAGTAATGGTATATTTTTCGGTTATTTATTTTTGTTACTGAAACCAAGGATTCCTCAAAAGTGCCCTAGGCACTGTAGCTCACAAGCCTTAAAGCCAGAGTCCATCATTTGCAGCTATCCAAAAAGTAACTGGCGTAATTTTTGTTGAGAAACATACTTGGTTGAAAGATACAGGGACTAAACTCCCTGTGAAATTATTCTTTCTGGCAAGCTGTTATTTAATTTAAAGAAATGATCAAAAGAAGGCCTTTCGAACGGTGTTTCTTAAGAAGCACCGTAGGAAATTCAAATTAGTAGTTCGTTTTGTTAATCGGCGAAGCGCGCGCAAGCATTGGCACGACGCACACGCGCAGGCGGTTACTATAATTCGTCGGATCAGTGCGCGATATCGCTTAGCTGCAATCGGCTCAGTGTCTCGGACGCTGAATTCAGGCCCAATTCAAAACATGATTCAGCAACTTTTGATTTGAAATCAAGATCCTAGATTGTTGTTTTCTCGAAATATACAGCTAAAGCTGAGCTGAAACTTCATCAGGTTAGTTGTTCAGCACCCTTCTTTAGTTCTTGAGCACTTTTGTTGCTTTAGACGAACAAAATGCACAAATTACAAATGATGGACTGTACCTTTAAGAAGCCTGAATAAACCTGTAGAGAGGAGGCAATGAGAAGAAGTTACAGGTTTAGAGGTGCCAAACTCCAGAAGAAGATTCTGAGGAAAATCCACAGAATCAGGCAGGGACTGAAAACCCAATCCAGATGTTGGCCCAGACAGGAATCAAATCGGGTCACAGCGGTGGAAGGCGAGGAAAGTGCTGCTACGCCAACCTCAAATTAATTTTTTTTCCCCTTTTCAATTATCACAGCTGCAAGCACTAGATCGGGCGAAACTGGAGCTAGTGTCTGCTTATGCCATCAATTCAATGTTCTGGAGTAAGTTCAGTTTGATTTCTGTTTTAAAGAAGATTCATATTACGTTAAACTTATTTTATTTAAGCAGTATACTTTATTAATCATTTTATCCCATCACTATGATTTGTATATGATCAAATGTTGCATTGGAGAGATGTAAAGTCAATATATCCCTTTGCTGACTGTTTACTCAGATCTCCCTGAGGGCATGTAAGAAAAATTCACAGGCTTACTCGGGTGGAACTCGAACCCACGACCTCTTGCTTACTAGTGCAGACGTCTTTCCACTCGACCTCTGAGCTCTTTGACCAATGAGTGTGCTTGTCGCTGGCTAGTTTGGTGGTCGAGACGAGTGGTAAGACATCTGCACTAGTAAGCAGGAGGTCTCGGGATCAGGTCCCACCCGAGTAGCTTGTGAATTCTTTCTGGCAGGCCCTTTGACAACTCTGGGTAATAATAATAATAATATCGGAGTCTTATATAGCGCACGTACATGTATCTACCAACTCTTAGGTACTCAAGGCGCTGGAGATATGTCTATTATTAAAGAAAGGTAAATAAAGTTTATGAGAAATATGAGACCCATTATGTAGCACCTTATAAGGGTTTACAAGGTGCTGCGGCGCATATTGCAGCCACTGCCAGAAACACCGGGGCAAACCCCTTCTCTTTAGCGATAAGTGTTACTGGGTTCTTGAACGTGCATTACACAACACACGGGACCTACGGCTTTACGTCCCATCCGAAGGACGAAGCAATAATGGTAAAGTGCCTTGCTCAAGAGCACAAGCACCATGTTCACACAGTCAGGATTCGAACCCATGTACCACGGCACACGAGTCGAACACCGTAACCATTGGACCACAGCACCCCACAGTATACAGTATTAAGGAAAAAACTTGGTGAAGGGCAAATCCAATATTGAATTGATATAAATTAATCCCATCTACAGCTGGAGGTTCACTTCCCGGCTTTGAACAGTTTGATAAATTTAGTTCTGAAGCCTTGGACCAAACCAGCACAGCCCCTGCAACTGTTTACAAATGTATATGTGAACGCAAAGGACTTCAATACTGCTTGACTTTCCAGATTCACAACATATATCACACGATCACAACATAGATTTGACACTTGCCCTGGTTGAGAATCGTTCCTTTGCAACATCCTAAGGAATTGTTTTCTTCTCTGTCTCATTTCAGTGTACCTCTGCACACAAGGAGTGAACCCACGAGAGCATCCAATCAAACATGAACTGGTAAGGATATCAATGTACAATCCACAATGGAATTCGCACAAATAATGCCGTATGAATGAACATACTTGTACTGAAGATTAACTGCTTTCTCTAACTGTTTCATGTCTTTTGACTGAATGTTTCATGTCCAAAATATCAAAAGTGTTTGTATTCCATCTCACAGAGTGTTTTGAAACATTTTCTTCATCGTCTCGTCTCCTGACAATGACAACATCGTCTCCTGACGATGACTAGAGCAGGCTAGTCAAAACGTTGAGACCAAAGACAAGTTCTTTTAGAACTAAGCAGGACTGTTCTTATCAGAACTAAAAACTACCTAGCAAAAGTTGATAATAAGCAGGACAAGTTCTTATCAGAACTTAACATCTACTGAGCGACAGTAGTTATTACCACATGGTGTTACCGCAAACCGAAACAAAAAATGTTCTTGCTCAAATAAATGGAGTGGCTCATCCTTCCTGGATAAGAATAAATGCCGAAATGAGAAAATTCAGATTGAAACCTAATTACAATGTATAATGACCGTTGCACATTCACTAAAACAGAATTTCACTATTTACAGGTGTTTGTTTGTGGTCTTAAACATGTAATGATGACATTTTCTTTTTGCCATTTTTGTCAGGGGCGTATACAGAAATATATGAACAGAGTCAAAGAGATAGTGGATAAAGAAAATGGTAAGTGCATACTAGTGTAAGTGGTACACATTTTTTTTCAGTTTATTTAAAGCATTTTTTTTTCAGCCAATTTTTTTACCTACGAATTCAGTGCAAGTCCATTTTGCAGTAATTTTGACTGCAATTCACTTTTAAAGATGTTGAATGAAACTTTCTGTCACATAAAAATAGTGCCCTATGTTGATGCCATTATTCACAACATGTAACATCAAGTATTCATTGGACAGCAAATAGTTACAAGTCAATAAGGGGTTATCAATATGAGTAAGCGTGTGCGTAATGCACACACGTGTAATTATGCTAAAGAGAAACTCGTATAGAACACCTTTTCTACTTGCCATTAGACTACCAATGCCTTGAGAAGATGCATCTCAGTAAGCATCAGCACATGAGTGATGAAGTATATCAATCTAATATTTTTGGTTTTCATTTTTATTTCAGCTGCCAAATTGGACAAAGGAGCAGCCAAGCGCTTTGTGAAAGCTGCACTATATGATGCCAATGAAGGTAAAACCTCCCCCCCCCCCCCCATAAGAAGTGTGGGATGATTATACTAGCAGCTTCTTGCCCAAAGAGCATTACCACAAATGCAATTTGCCCTAGAGGGCGTGGCCATGCGTGTTGTGCCCTTGAGTAAGGCGCTTTACCTCAATTACTCCTCTCAACCCAGGTGTTAAATGGGTACTGGGATTATTCAATGCTGGGAGGGTATCAGACTCGCTGTGGAGGTGTGGCGTTCCCCCCACAGCGGCATTTGATAGACTCGAGTCTTGCCCAATCGCCTCGAAAGAGAGATGGGCGCTCCGTTCCTGTGAGTTCAGGTTCGTCCCCCCCCCCCCCCACATCTTAAGACTTTCCACCATGCAACCCTTCAAGTCTTACCTATGATGGCTCAAGTCTTGACAGATTTACTTTATAAACTTCACATTCGCCCTTGTTTCTATCTGCCTAGGTAAGGACAAGCAGAAGGGGAAACGGAAAGCCACGGATGACACACAGTCAGGCCCATCAAAGAAAAGGTGACATGCTGGACCTTAGACGATCAGAAAAATATTCAAGCCAGCCAGATGTCATGATAGGCCATCAGCCTGGGGGTTTGGTCAGTATCAAATCAGGGCATAAATGATTATAATGAGCATGCGCAAGGTATACCGCCCCTATAGTGGTAACAAGCATTTTGATGGACATTTTGAAAAAAAAGGGTGATAACACCCAAACAGCTGCCACCGCTGCAAGGCTATCACATATTTTCCAACTCCGAAGGTGTATACCTTGCCAAAAATCGCTATGACGTTTATTCCCCTCATTTAATACCGGTGGCCAAAATTTTGGACCGAGGCTGATGGCCTATGACTTTCGTTCTGAATAGATGCCATCTGCCAGATTGTACATTGTCAACGATTGGTGGAGCTCAGTGTATTGAGTGCAGTTGATGCCTTGCAAGTCTCTTGCAGGAACTGTCGATGGGTGTGGCGTTTTGTGTTTTATTCAAGCTTTGTCTGTGGTGATTCAACTGTGAGGGAATAGAAATCAATACGAACTTCAGGTTGCAATTCTTCTTAAGATGGGCTGTCTTTTTTGATACGTTTACTGGTACATTGTAAGTACTTAAGTGTCTGTTTTCAACATGCTCATGAGGACAAGTTTAGAGAAGCGAATTCACCCATGAGAGTAGTTCCCCCAAAAGTGTTTATTTGTAAGGTAATGTCAATACAACGTGCACCGTGTGCTGTGACGTGTTATTACATGATTGATTGAGGACACTCTTTACTGCTATTAGGCTCTGTTTGAAGGACATTTTTCTTGTGCTGTATTATATATTATCTTCAAGCAAACTTGTATTCCCGATGCCGATTGGTCGATCCATGGCAACAACAGTGTGATATTATACTGTGTCACACGGTCCATATCGCAACCTGCATATTGCGCTATTCCAAGATGCGAGCGACATTCCAGCTGCATGCCCTAAAGCGCTGTGCGTCAAGTTTGCTTGAAGATAAATTTGTTATCACCCTCGGCTCATGGAACACGGAAAATGTAGTGTGTCTGTGTCCCACATACCACTCGGGCTTCAGCCTCGTGGTATGTGGGACACAGACGCACTACATTATTCCGTGTTCCACTTGCGCTTGCTGGATAACTTTAATTGTAACCCATTGACTTAAACAAGGCACATTCTGTCATACGAAATTGCAATTTGGCCCTATGGTCTGAAATTTATGAAAACCAAACCGTGGTATAAATATTAATGGAATCAGGGCTGTACTGAGGATATTTACAGACAGGAATACAGATATCCATTTTAGAAAAACTGTTTTATTTGCACATATTTATGCACACATCAAGCTGTATTAATACGAAGATTCAAACTCAATAGCAGTGTTGTAGTACCCGTACTCAGTACTCGAGTACTTTTTTAGAATACTTGTACTTGGTTTCGTACTCGATTATCAAAATACTCCGACTCAAATTCACGGTATTCATACTTCCTAATCAAAGTACTCGTACACCATTATAAGGACTCGGGGGGGGGGGGGGGGGGAAATCGAATAAATTTTTCATGAAAACAATCTCCTTGACTTAGAGACACACGTGCTCCGTTTTAATGGTGCTAATAGAATAGTACCGGCCTGTAGAGAGGATTGAATTAATATGTTGGTCTTTGCAGAGACTACACGCTTGATTTTTATGTACAATGTGTGGCTGGTGTCTGCCTGGTATCTCATTACGTGAGATTTTAATTGTTTTCACTTGAGAGTACTCCATAAAGTACTGGTACGCATACTTGTACTCGAAGGTCCAAGTACTTGGACTCGCGTACCTGTACTCTTGCTCAAGGGTCAAAGTCCTGGGTATTCTGCAGTACTTTGTACCCGGATAAAAGTATTCGACTACAACACTGCTGAATAGGGCTAGGTGGGTTGGTAATGTGGGTTTTCCGGCTATTTAAAATAAATTCATTCTAATTCACCAACTCTAACATTCAATTTCGTCAAAAAAAATTTCACACGCTTTTAACAAAACCAAATTAGTCATTTACCATTCAATTTTAAAGTTTGGTCACCGGGTCGAAAATATTCATCATATAGATCAAATTCGTCTAAGCTGTTGCTGAATGGCAGCATTCAGAGATCGAATTCATCTCATATAAATCAATTAGACCAATTTGATTTCTGAATAACAAGGTTTGGCATAGACGAGACGAAATTGAATACTCCAGGATGAAAAAGCTAATTGTTTGAATTTACTTGAACTAAATTTGAAATTGTCTGACATTAATTGTCAAAATTAAACATTAGAAGTGCACTAAACCGATGTTGATGGATGAATTTGAATATTAGAAACGATGAATTCAAATGATACACGTTTTAAAATAGCCAGGAAAACCTATACAATTGCATATTCCATTCAGTTTTTGAGTCCCTTACATTCTGTTGATATTACCTTTGTTTCCTTTTTGAGTTCATGCATGTACTGCCCACTATATATGCGGCACTCTCTTTTTGCATATTCAGTTGCAAAATGTCCCTCAATATTAGGCTGCGTCGGAATTACTTGGGTACGGCCAGCAACAACATACGTGTCTATGGGACAGAGATTTCAGTTGCTTCCATAGGTGTAAATTGCAAGGCGTAACCAAATAATTTGGATGCACACCTTCAGCTTTTGGTGTGTAAATTTGCTCAATGAAGTCTAGTCTGTGCCACCTAAAAAAAAGAGGGTACACATGTGAATATTTAGTATTTCCTTGCGTTTATCTGGGCACTTTTGTCAATTGTAAAATGTGTACATGTAACATAGGGTTAATGCGGTACTAAATTGGTTTTTATTTGACAATGTATTTGTTTAATGTTGTAATAGGTTGTTTATGTGTATAAAACATTCAAAGTGTTGATTATTAAATAAAACTGAACTCTTGACAAAGCCAGAAGTATCCCTTGTGGTGACAAATTTGTTTGAGGTTTTGAGTGAAATGCATATCTTAGGTATGGGTTGTTCTATAAATTTGGGGTCTGCTTTTTTTCCTGTCCCTGTTACAATCTGACATCTTATGATTTCACACTGATGGATGCACTCCTTAAAGCTATAGTCCATCATTTGCAGCCATCCGAAAAAGTAACTGGCGTATTATTGTTGAAAAACATACTTGGTTGAAAGATAGTAAGGGGACTAAACTCCCTGTGAAATTAAGCTTTCTGGCAAGCTATCATTTTGAAGTAATCAACAAAAGAAGGCCTTTCCAATGGTGCGTCTTAAGACACACCGTAGGAAAATTTAAATTAGTAGTTCGTTTTATTCAGCGCAGCGTGCGCAAGCATTGGCACGATGCACAGGCGCGTGCGGTTGCTATAATTCTTCGGATCAGTGCGCGACATCGCGTATAGCTGCAATTCAAAATTCAAAACGTGATTCAGTAACTTTTGATTTGAAATTGAGATCCTAGAATGCTGTTTTTCTCGGAATATACAGCTGAAGCTGAGCTGAAACTTCATCAGGTTAGTTGTTCAGTATCCTTCGTTTGATTTTGAACACTTTTGTTGCTTCAAACGAACAAAATGAACAAATTACCAATGATGGACTATATCTTTAATGCAGTCTTCCCCAAGGAGTGATTATGAATAGATACCTACCCCAAAATAAAAAGTTAGTAATTCTTAACCCTCCTGCTGTCTGAACAGTCACAGACAGTCCAAACATCATCCACTCCCCTATGCCTTTTGCACATGCTAGTGCAAGTGGAAGGCACAGTGTAGACAGTACCAAGGTAACTAGGATAGGGAAAATGTCACACTTTGGACCCCTCAATTGATAGAATGACCCATGTACAGTGGGGGAGACGAGCAAAGTACTTGCGTGTACACACATCTTTGAGAATTACACGTAGGCTAATCAGGGCCCAATTTCATAGAGCTGCTTCAGCCGACGGTCCTTACCGAGCCTCCATCTATTTCATAGAGACCATTATTGGCAGTAAGCACAGCAAAAGCACGCTTAACCCCTGAAGAAAACTTTGCTTAAATCAGTGACGTAACAATAGAAATCTCCATGCGCACAACCGTTGGCATGAAATAGTGCTTAAGCAGCAGCATGATTTTCTGCTATAGTAAGCACAACTTTTCTGCTTACTGTTAAGCAGTGCTATGAAATTGGCCCAGATCTGTTAAGAACGGTACTATTATGACTGCATGTAACAAGTACATTATAGATAATTCATGTGAGTGGTGTGTATTTGACTCCACTGACTTCAATTACTGTTAATATACAGCTGCAAATGTTTTATACTGAACCATTTATGATCGGTGTCCTTCAAATATAACCACACAAGATCTGCACAAATTCAAGCCCTCATTCAGAATACATGTACAACTGGTCAATGTGCTTTAAAATCCAAACCACATAATTATTCACTCTCAAATTTATAAATTAAACTACCCAATGCACCACACACTGTTAAAATCAAATTTTGATCTTCAAAAAATATATATTTCTGTCGGGAAATCCTAAGTGTTAATCTCAGTTTTAAAATCTGAAACAATGTACATGTTATTAGCATCAGCAGGACAACCGACATCATTTTACACGTTAAAATTACAATATGTACAATATCTACAGTAGTACACCACACAAATACGCCCATCTATATCGCATAAAACCCTACAGACTCTCCTAATCTTGTGTTTAATGCATAGCTATACAAGTATTAAATAATATATTCATTTTGACAAAATGACATATTAAAAATGGTACTATGTAGAGGGGCAGTATAGATGTTAGAGTTTGAGAAAGTGTTTTAAATTTAAATTGCATACTGCTTGAAAGAATTGGCTAGAACTCATCACTTTGTTGATTCGAGCAAAACTGGGAAACAATATCAGCTGGCCGTATTACCTAAAGCCCGCCGCACACAATTCCAATGTTACCAATTCACCGATCATTTTCTGTTTTCACCGTTGCGGAAATCGCAATGTTAAACCCACACACATGCCCGATTCCGTTCTATCATGATCAGTCACGTGATGACAAAATGGCAGCCTCAATTTTGAATCACGTGACTTCCTTTGTGAATCTGATTGGTTAACATAAATGTTGCGTTTGGTGAAATCGGAATGCTGCCCTCACACGGTAGAATGCAAAAAAATCAAACATGTTTGATTTGAATCTGATCGCCCGGTGTGCGGTCAGATCGGTCCGATTTTTTTCAGTGTACACCTTTTCCGATCTGTTCATCTAATGGCCAGATGATCCAGTAACATCGGAAAGGTGTGCGGCAGGCTTTAACCAGTTTGCGCCGAATGATGTGTATACACGCAAAGGTTTGTGTACGGATGACAGATAAACACGCAGAGAGCGGGGCCAGATATATCTGTCAGCGATCCGCTCGCAGCGAGCGAGGCCGAAATATGAGTGTGCTGCCCGAGTTTGATGGCTTCAACCCCCTGGGCTTGAGGTCAAGTGGAAGATAATTAAATCCCGTGCCTCGTTCTGTTCTTGTCAAAATAATCCCGGCGCGAACTGGTTAAAAATGGAGGATTTCCACATATACACATGTAGTCAGTTGTAACCAAAAACACATCAAGCAATAGTGTCAATCCTAAAAGCTGCCTAAAATAAACACAAAATGTATATCGAGTCTTTCACATTAAAAAAACCAATCCCCAAACTTTGAATAAATTGGAAATCATTTCAAGTATTGCAGTGTTTGGGGGTAATCCAAAGTATACACGGCAAGAAAGGTAGGGCCCTTCAAAAGTTGAACACTTTAAAAATGTTAAGCCTTTCTCTAAACCTAACTCGATTTTTCTTCATGTTTTCCCCTTTTGGGGAAATTGACTACAGAATTACTTAAACTAACTAACTGCCCGTTATCAGTGCACTTTCTTGCCAGTTTAATGGTGAACGAAGCAATAAAAATGCCGTTCGAACCCCCCAAAAAATTGCTTGTCTGGTATGTTAGGTGCACCACAGAGTGACATCTCTCTGTATTAAACCAAATTAAAATAAACTAGTAACAAGCCTGTGCCAGGAATAAAGATATGGTCAATCAATAAACGCAAGTCCCGACACACAGTCGTGAATTTCTATACGCCTGAGGACAATGCTTTGTGTTTCCCTTTGTCCCTGTAATATAGCAATCTCCCATAGACTAAGCACACAACCGTACAATCGAGGACGGCTTTCAACAAAAGACCCAACGCTCAAGGACTGAAAGGATCTTTAATTCTCCCTTTGTGTGTCTGTCTATCGTAAGCCATACATGTACAGTCATACATGATATTCTTAAGCTTCAATCAGTTACCAGTGGGTGACAGAAGTATCTAATTTACATTGCTCAAATTATCAAGGACAAGTTTCTCCAACACCCTTGAAAAACCTGCCATTTAAGAAAACCAAATAAATTCACACAACTGTTGAAATCTTTGGAATCTTTCTCTTAATCAAAATGTCACGTTATAATTTGCACACTAAAAAGATCAACCTTAAAATATGTTTGTCTGGTACATTTACCACTGTACAATGTATAAATATTTTGAAACACCAACGGGTATTCTGAATTTCTCTTTTAAACTGCAAGTTATGAATTATGTGTTATTACGATTTCAAACATAAAAACAAACAGATATAGGTTACGTACAAAAAAAATTAATGTATAATGTTTTTGTAACCTAGGAGACCGTAGCCATGGTTATCGTTCCACCTGCGTGTGCGGATATACCTTAGTCACATGACCCATGCCTTTGGTTGTTCCTTCTCTGAAGAGGAGTCTGGCACCTTCCCGTATGAACTCTGGCTGTTTGATGAACCGGAACCGGACTGAGGCCTGCCCGTTTGTCTTTATACGTTCCTATGAAAGCAATGAAAAATGTGGCATTCAATTTTCTGGACCACTTTTTTGCCCAAGCTAAATGTGAAGACAAATTGAAAACAGTGCTGTTTGATTTAAATCATTTGATTTCAAACATTGATTTAAATCACGTTTAAAATCATTCAAAAAAATCAAAAGTTATTTGCACTATGCATGTTTAACTCAAAAGGAAAACCGTGTGAACGTAGATCCCTTTTTTATAATTCAGGTTTTGTTTAATAAACCTTTGGGAAAATTCGGAAACAATTAAATTATTTTTCTCGTTTAAGCCTTTAAAGCTACAGTCCATCATTTGCAGCTATCCAAAAAGTAACTGACGTAATTATTGTTTATTGTTGGTTGAAAGATAGAAAGGGAAATAAACTCCTTGCCAAATTGTTCTTTCTTGCACGCTGTCGTTTTGAAGAAATCAACAAAAGATGGCCAAATGAAGGCAACACTGAAATTTCCGTTAGTAGTTAGTTTTTTTTGTTCGGCGAAGAACGCGCAAGCTTTGGCACGACGCTCTCGCGCCCGCAGTTGCTATAATTTGTCAGTTCAGTGCGTAACATTGCACAGCTGCAATCGGCTCAGTGGGAACGTGTCTCGGACGCTGAATTCAGGCACAATTCAAAACATGATTCAGCAACTTTTGATTTGAAATCGAGATCCTAGAATGCTGATTTTCTCGCAATATACAGCTGAAGCTGAGCTGAAACTTCATCAGGTTAGTTGTTCAGCACCCTACTTTGGATTTTGAGCACGTTTGTTGCTTCAAACGAACAACATGCGCAAATTACAAATGATGGACTGTACCGTTAAACATGTAACATCACATCCTTACATCATACCTGAGCTAACCATATACACACATGCAATGTGTCCCTCCCACCGTTAACCCTAACCCTGCTAAATGCAACAGAAGGCAACACTGACAAAAAGTTGTTGCATATTATTGCATTTTAGCAGGCAACTCAAGGCTCCGTGCTTTGTTGCTTCTTGTTGCATTTAGCAGGGTAACTGCTCATATTCCCAAAGCGATACAACAGAATCCACTGTTGCATTTGGTTGCATTTTAGTAGGGCAACCGCTTGATGCCAAGGCTGGTATGAACTGGGTTCACTGCACAACGCAACAGAATCCACTGTTGCAATTTGTTGCATTTAGCATAGTTCTTTTTTTCAGCCAAGTTGAATTTTGTTGCATTTGGCAGGGTGCCCAGAGAAAACTTGTTGGGGTTAGGGTAATACACATAGCATAGCACAGAGTCCATAGAATTGGCAAGGCCACATTCAAGAGAAAGTTTTTCTGTCACCCCCACCCTCCCCCCCCCCCCCTCCAAACCCCATAAAAGAAACAAAGTCTGACACTGCACTTCTCAAAACTTAAAATGACTTTTGATTTCTGAGTGGGAAATTGGCAGGCTGCATACCGTATCCATTGTTTTGATGACGGCGGTCTGGCAAACGTTGCCTATATGAAGAGTGGCCTGGAACCCCTGGCCAATGGAGGTGACGTGGAAGAAGACAAAGATGGAGGCTTCAAACTCATAGCAGGCGGAGGGGTTGAGATCCTTGGAGACCAGCACCATGCCCTGTAATGGGGGGGGGGGGGGGACAGAAGGAAAAGGATTCAGTTCTCATGCATGGCGCTCTTGCCTTTGAAACAGCTACAAGAAAACTGAAAGAATTGTCAGACTGGAGATGCATTTTGACTTGTGACTGACAAGTTTATGATAAATTTGTGACAATGCCTGTTATTTGATTCTAGAAAATCACATCTATCCAGAAGCAATAGAGCTTTAACCAGTTCGCGCCGGGATTATTTTCACTCGACCTCAAGCAACGAGGGTTGAAGCCATCACCCTCAGGCAGCACACTCATATTTCCAGTGTCACTCGCTGCGGGTGAGTCACTGGCAGATATTTCCAGCTTCGCTCCATGCGTGTTTATCCGTACCGAATACTGCAAAACATTTGCGTGTTTACACGTCAGCCGGCGCAAACTGGTTAACTAATTTTATCAGATGCAAACAATTATGGCTTTTGATAGGGCTGTGCATCGAAACCGGGTACACGAGTACCCGACCGCTGATGTCAGGAACCATTTCAGATTATGGAATCGATTACCGGTTCTTAGTAACTGCTCAGACAATTGGGAAAAAATGGTTTTGAATGTCACCTGTGGAGAATGTTTAAAATAAAAACCAATCTACATGGAAAAACAAAACAGATTTACGTTTACGACATTTGCGAAAATGCAATTTACATCACAGAATTACATGTATTGCGCTTTACTGTACACACTTGTATCTTGCAGTACCGACGCACCGATGTGGTAGTATCATGTGGAATGTTATGAACAATCTGTACAACAACTTCCGAGATTTAAATTTTGGGGTTGGCTTTCATAGGTACCTGTGGGTTTTACTACCCGTAGATGCACACCTCTAGTTTTGACATACTACAGATTCAGCGGGGTAGTGTTGCTTACTGATTTTGGTTCATGACTCATGTTCAGATGGTCAGGGGTTCAAATCCAGCTGCTGGTCATATTTTGTGTCCTTGGCTTAGCCACTTCACACCCAGTTGCCCCTCTCCACCCAGGAGTATAAATGGGTACCGGCATTAGCTGGGGAGTAACTTGTGATGGACTGGCATCCCATCCACACGGAATGAAAATATTCTCAGTTGTTTCATGGCAGAGAAACCGGAGACAAACGTTGGCCTGATGGGCCATTATGACTTGTGACAGACTTTACTTTTTATTAATAATAATAATAATAATTGTGAGGCTAATCATCCTTACTGGCAGCTGGTATGCTGAATTGCGAAGGACGCGGCTACAACGTGGTCAGGCCGCTGGCATGTAAAGGCACCTATGGCTGCCGGCCACATCGACCCATATATGACCACGGAGCACAGCCTGAGATCGAAAGTGTTTGATTTTTCCGGAGGGAGGAAAACCGGAGGGCCCGGAGAAAAACCCTCGTGGCACAGGAGAGAACCAACGCACAACTCTACTCACATGCGATCCGCGGCCAGGATTCGAACTGTGGTCACCTTGATGAGAGGCAAGCGCTTTACGCACAAGCCACCCATGCCACCCATTTTTACTTTTACTGATTAAGCGGACTTTCCAAACTCTCAGGTGCTCCTTTCATAATTTCCATTTCATTTTTGTTTTTAGAAATGCTGGCTATTCCTGCAATGTGACCCCTTATCAAAACAAAATTTCTTCTCCATACAGGAGTGCAGAGAGAGTCCCCCTCAAATGAGGACAAGTGGTCCAACCCACCTTTCGTAGTATGTACTTGTCCCCTTCGCCAATAGCCAGCGTGGCGGCCTGCCCGGCCCGTACCACTCTGCAGGAGGTACGGTTCCTGTGTATGGTGTGCACGGTGACGGGGCTGAAGCTCCCAGACTCGTCGGGGCCTAGAAGGAGCTGCTCTTGTTCCTTGACGGTGCCACTGTTTGAAGCAAGACATTTCAATATTTGGTTTGTCACATTTGTACTTCAAGTTCAAGACTGTAAATCTGAATAAACCTTATAATTAAGGGGGACAAAATCACCAAGGAGTTTCTAAAACTTTCTTGATGAGGACCCATGCCCAGATCAGTCTGATTTTCCAAGACGTCATATTATAGCTTTTCCCTGCTATTTTAAGATGTTTATCATTCAAATTCACTGATTCTAAAATTCAAATTCATCCATCATCGATTTAGTGCACTTCCAATGTTTAATATCGTCTTTGTCAGGCAATTTCAAATTCAGTTCAAGCAAATTCAAACAATGAGCACACGTTTTCGTCCTAGAGTATTCGATTTTGTCTCGTCTACGCCAAACCTTGTTATTCAGAAATCAAATTCATCTAATTGATAAGACAAATTCGATCTCTGCATGCTGCCATTCGGCAACAGCTTAGACGAATTTGAATATGAATATTCTCGACCCGGTGACTAAAGAGGGTGACCAAACTTTAACATTGAATGGTAAATGATTAAATTGGTTTTGGTAAAATATTTCGTGGACAAAATGGAATGTTAGAGTTGTGAATTTGAATAAAAAATCTGTTAAATAGCCAGCAAAACCTACATGTATAGTACAACCAATTTCACATCGAATACCAGTGAATTGACCTGAACAACCACACCATCTTCTCATTTCTTGGGGCATGCACATTCAATAGGAATGTCTGACTTACCGTGACAGTGTACCTCCAACTACTCGCCCAACATCAGGGACACTGTACACTTCATCAACCTGTCACAAAATAGCAGCCAAAGAGATCAACATTAGGTTGGAAAAAGGAATTTGACCGTAGCGAGATTCAAACCGGCCATCTCCAGATTATACCAGCGCTCGATCAACTGAGCTTTGCCCTGCCCTATGTTGGCTGGGTAGTCTGACTAGCACCCTTCAACAATGTCTTTGTAGAAGGATGCTAGTCAGACGCCATAAACCTGTGGTTGTGCCATGCGGTCACGGATCACGCCCAATGTCACGATGCCGGTAAGTTTCCCAAAGCAACAAACCTGGGAAATGGCAATTGGGAATCACTCCTTATCGCAAATCATCACTTGTACCCCTGTAATATACAGCCTGTCTCAAAAAAAATGGTACAATCGAAAACGATTTTTTTTTTCAATATTAAATCTCAACATAAGTAAGTCGTTTTGAGCATCACATTAAAGAAAAAAAGACCAGGCTTTCCAATACTTTTTGTTTCATCTCATTTGCAATCTTTTGTGAGCTTCAAGACAGCATGGCACAGTACTCGAAACAACTCTCCCCATGCATAAAAGTGGCACAAAATCGATTTTGGTGTATCGCACTAAATTGATTATATCTCTGAATTGACAAAAGCAAATAAGATCAAACAAGCACTATTGGAAAACCCAGTCTTTGTTCTTTAATATTATGCCAAGTAAGAATGACTTATTTTGAAATTTCATATTTAACCAATTTTTTTTCTGATTGTACCATTTTTTTTTAGACAGGCTGTATATCCCAGGAAAAGACATCATGCCTGTAGTTTGCCAACACAGCCACGCAACTTACATGTAAGTGTCTATCTTCTTTTATAACACCTCACCCAAAGATTCTGTGTCTTGATTGGCCAAGAGCGAGTCACATGGTATTTTTCTAATTTTTCTATCTTTCTGTGCACGGCCAAAAGTACTATACCCGTAGCAACCAAAGTACTATACCATTAGCAACCAAAGTACTATACCCACGGCACGGTATTTGTGTACAAATGCATGCTGGTGCGCGTTGAGCGTTGCACGTTTTGTTCCTAAGAGAGCGTGCCACAGAGTTAGGTTCAAACATTTTGTGAAGGGGTGGTTTGGAAGAGAGAAATGCATTTCCAACCAATTTTGTATTGAAATTGAAGTTTATTTTAACTGTGTTCAGATTTAAATCCTTTAAAATATTAAAACCAAGCAGAATCTTTGGGCAAAGTGTTATAAAACAATTATTGAATGCTTCGCCTCAGAAAAAATAGAATGCTTCATGGATCACCTTGGGAGGCTAGTTTTACTACAACACTGGAAGCATTCAATATTTGTATACTATACCAGACTTGTATTCGAGTCACGAAACATCGAGTCCAAGTCCGAGTCACATTTCTCGAGTCCAAGTCCGAGTCCCGAGTCCTCCAGGTCGAGTCCGAGTCCGAGTCACAAAGGTCGAGTCCAAGTCCAAGTCACGAGTCACCTCATTTTAGTTACATGCAACTTGCATGTTACGTTACCGAAATGGGCAGATCAGCAGACTATTCATATCGCGTTATCGCGATGCGACAGCAATACACGTGTGAACGACAGGAGGTCTGACAGGAAAAGTCTGGTACCTTACCCTATCAATCTTGCACCAATGCAGTATTACGTGCGGACGGCAGGGTACAAGTTTCGGTACATTGATTTCTTTAATCAATATATCGGTAACCGGCCACGGCCATGCACGCACCACATCGAGCGCCCTGTACATGACTTGTATTGCACAGTATAGAAAACGATCGACTTACGTATGTGCGCGTGTGCAGTGCGGTAATTTCCGTCGAGTCACAAGTCAGTTCGAGTCCAAGTCCGAGTCCGTAGCCCCGAGTCCGAGTCCAAGTCGTAAGTCAAAGTGACTCGAGTCCGAGGCCAAGTCATTAAAAATGTGACCCGAGTCGGACTCGAGTCCGAGTCCGAGTCCGAGTCACGAGTCATACAAGTCTGCTCTGTACTATACTGTTCACAATGATATCAACATCATTAAAACCACCTATCTTTGTAGTGATTGCAGATGTTTGCTTTTTTTTTTCAGAATGAAAATCCGCATCACGAGAACACAACCTGCAAGTGCGACATGGTCTATAAACCTGTTTATGCATTCACAAAATTCCACAAATTACCTGGAACTCTGTCAGTTCCTGTGCTAGCTTGTCCTGTTCTATGCTGTTGTGTGACGGTGGGAGGACGTGGAGGAATTTCTTGAGCATGTCCAGGTTCTTGCCAGTGACGCTGGATACAAGGAATATGGGGCATATGCTGTTGAAGAAAAAACAGGTAGGTAACAGATTAATTCTTGGCTTAGCGTGAAAAGACCCCTTAAACTATTGATATCTGGCAAACACTGTCATGGAGAAGGTCCAAAATCCTCTTTGCATAATAGAGGATTTAGCAGGATTGAGGTTACATCTTCTTCTTCATTCATTCATTTTCATGATGACTTGATGAGTTGGGCCCAACTGTCCCTGTCGAGCATAGTGTTGGAAAGAGATGGACCGCTCAGACCAGTTTCTAGCTCAATGGATGTTTTCAGGGTCATGTTGGGTGTTTTCAGGGTCATGTTGGGACGACCTTTTCGTCAAGGGGCATCAGGATTCCAGAGGACGACTTGACTAGCTGGCTCATTATGTCGTCAAGTCATCATGAAAATGAATGAATGAAGAAGAAGAGGTTACATGGCAAAAGTGTGTTGCTGATTTCGGAGGATTCCCTGTGTCAAGGTCTTAGGTCGAACCTTGTGTTGTTTATGCTCAGCCGTGCATAAATTTAGGCCTGTATTATGCTTGAAATCCTCTGCACTGCTTCGGGATGTCAGTGGCTCTGCCTCAACCTATTGACAGTAATTGCCAGAGGATTTTGCAGGATTGAGGCAGTGATCACCCCTCCAAGGACCACATTCAAGAAATAACAGAGGATTTTGCAGGATTGAGGCTATATGCTATTTTTACATGGAGGCAGTTGGAGGATATTGTTGCATCCTCTGAGATGAAGCCATTTATGTTCACCAATTAGCTTTTGATTAACAGGACTTAAATATGTAACCAAATAAACAAGAACGATCCATCTAATAACCAAATAATTACTCAAGGCCAACACGTCATAAAAGGAACGCACAAGAGCCACATGATTCCTAATTCTGTGAAAATGGAAACATCAAATTTTACAAAATTGTCTGAAAAGTTTGCTCCTTACCTTCCGTTGTTGAAGTTCCTGGCAGCAGTCACCGCGTTGTCGTCGCTTTCCACTCGGTACGGGAGCTTCTTGCAGCCGGGCCCTGACAGGAGCCGGGTCAGTTGATCCAGGGTCCGCTGAATCAGACCATTCGGGCAGAGGTCGATTTTGCTGATGACTACAAATATGGGGACTTGTAGAGCCATGGCTAGGCCGATGTGCTCCTTGGTGGTACCAGCTGAAGAAAAGGGGGGAAAAAGGGTCCAGGGTTTGAAATATGTACTGGATCGCTGAATCCTGCGATTATAACCATCAGTGCTTTTACTCACCGATTCCGGTGTTGGCGCTGACTACCAGCATAGCAAAGTCCGGCATGTACCCCATGAGTCCTGTGATGGTGGTCTTGAGGTACTTGTGGTGACCGGCCAGGTCAATCAGGGTGATCAGTTTGGAGGCATTCTCACAGATCTCCTCGGCCGTCAGACAACCTTGCTGGCTGTCCCCGTAGTTGATGACCTGAACATGGAATAAAACCAGTGTTCGTTTTGGTTTTGGTTTTTGACCTTGTTTTTACGGGATCGCTATTTACAAGGCAATAGGCCACTCAAGGTGGCAGCTAAATGAACAAGCTCGATCGGAAATATCTCGGAAGCTGCAGACCAACGAATTCATGTTCATGCACGAGTCACGTGATTGTGACATGTTATTTCTGGAAGTAGTGTTTGAGTAAAAAAAAATCTGATTTTTGACCCCTATAAAAAATAACCCATGTTGACCTTTGACCTCAGTTTGGTCATGTGACATGTTGGGGCTGGGCTACTGATACTTCTGACAAAGTTTGGTTGAAATCGGATAAACTATGTAGGAGCAATAGACAATGTCAACGTTTTAAGTAACGGAGAGACATGATTATTTGTTGAGCTGCTATCCCGCAGCTAAAAAAAAGGGAAAAAAGGAAGCAGGCAACTAAAGGGAGAGATACCTGTAGATATTGTGTAAAAACTGAGATAAATTTTAAAAACTCCCCCGGGAAGAAAATATTCTGGCAGAGAGTTCCAAAATGACGCAATATAGGGAAATGGGTTGGGATGTTGATAAAGTCTCCATGTGTTTGAAGTGCATAACAATCGGGAGGGAAAGCATAATGGAAGTTAAACGAAGGTTACGGAGGACGCTTGGGCCTAGGGTTAGGGTTTGTGACTAATGATCCCAGTTTCAGGTGTTCGAAACCAGCTGCTGACCATATGCTGTGTTCTAACCCTAACCCTAACTAGTCGCCTTAACCCCCAGGGGTGCAAAGGGGTACAGGCATAAGCTTGGGAGCAACCTGTGATAGACAGGCATCCCAATCCAGGACAGAACAGAAACATTCTCAGACGCTTCATGCCACGGGTGAGATATACACCAGCCTCATTAGTCATACTGACTCCAGACACACTCTGCCTACTTTACTTCAAGGTCAAAGGTCGGGAGCAAGCATACCTCCCCTTTGCTGTTGAAGCCCAGTGTCTCGTGGCTGATGCTGGAGGTCCTCCCTGACTGGATTTCATGGAGATGACGGAACAGGTTGAGTCGGGCGCGACCGCGTCCGTTGTCCAACTCTCCCTGCGTCAGCACACCTAGTAGAGTACTCTTCCCAACGTCCACGTTACCCAGAACTGCAACCCGCAGGTCTATGAACTATTCGGAAAGATTTGGACAAATGAGCAAAACTGCTGCAAACCAACTATACGTACAACCAAGAAAATTAAAAGTGCCTGACGTTTTGATCACAAGATCTTCAAAGACCCTGCTAAGAGGATTCATTTGAGAAAGATCCTGTTGGGACTGAAAATTCATGCCATATAAAGCGAAGTAAAATAAATATGTTTCTCGTCCCCGTTTGCTTCCTTTTTGGAGGCCACCTTGATTTTTTATTATTTTTTATTTTTGAAAAATGCAGTAAAAAAACACAGAAAAAGTCCGCAAATGCATCAAAACTGTTCATTGTAGACCAAGACAACTCTAAATGACACTGTAAATATGTTCAGTTCTCTTGTCCAACTTGTCTTTCATTTTAAAAGTGTCTTTGAACAGTGGAAACACCAACGGTTGCAGGAAATTTTAAAATGCCGACCATCTTGAAAAAAATAAAAAATAAAAAATAAAAAGCCCCTCTTCCTCCTTTTTTCCAAAACCCGGACGAGAAACATGTTTTTTTTTTATTCGGCCTAACTCTTTTGATCAAATATAACCAAGGTAAAAACAAGTTTTTTTCTTCAAATTTGTCAATAGTTAATAAAATGTTTAATACAATAAAGATAAGCTAATCAGCAAGAAACCAGTCACATAATATTCATCTGATGAGTTTTTGGCTGTTTACCCGTTTTTGATCAAATAAATAAAGTCTGTGCTCGGTAAACTCCTCCAAATGTGTCCCTGCGGCCCAATTTCATGGCGCTACTTACATGTAACAGTTAGCAGAAAAGTTGTGAAACTGTGCTCAGCTTAAGCACTATTTCATGGCGTGGATGTGCCAACGGTTGCACTTGCATGGAGATTCCTACTGTTGCGTCACTGATAAGCATTTTTTGTCTCAGAGGTAAGCCTGCCTTTTGCTGTGCTTACTGCTTACAGTCTTCATGAAATAGACGGATGCTCTGTTAGCAGAAAATCGTGAGCTTAGCAGCGCCATGAAATTTAGCCGAGGTGTTGAGTTTGGTATATATAGTGCAATAAGGGGTTAAAGACCAGCGCTCAGCCAAGTTAGGTTGTATTTAGACACCAACCTGTTGGTCATCTGGGATTCTTCTGACTAAGACTTCACAAGCCTTTCGCTCTTCTCCAATCTCCCCATCTGCCTCCAGGGTGCGCTGTCTTAGGATGGTAGTTGTAGCTCCCAGTCTACAATGAAGACAGAGTAACAGTTTGTCAAATATTACGTGTTGTGTTGTGGATTGGCACTTCATACACTACGATTTAGCCAATACGGAATAACCAATTTTCCTTTAAAGGGAATATACATCATTTGCTTTTACTGTAATTTTCAGAAATGGATGGAATTGGGGGGTTGGAAATTTATAGCATATATAGTTACACTGATTTTTTGAGGTTTTGGGTTTGAAAATGCTATAAAAACCAAGAAAAACAATCATTTTCCTGTAGTCTGGTTCCCTGACTCCATATAAGAAGAAACAGATCAGTTTACATACATTGGGGAATTGTAAGGTCAGGGAACCAGTCTAGCTGGCTCGTACCCGTTCATAGGTTTGTAATCGATTGCAAACAAGTGCGATGGTCAATTGGGGCCAGTATTTGAAAAAAAAGTCAGTTTTTTCCAACGCTGATCGGCCGATCAACGTTGGAAATTGATAAAAAAAATACCACTTTTCTTGAAAATGACAGTATACCAGGTGCCATGATTTTACAGGATGCTTTACACTGTCATTCACTAACAGTCCAGCAAGGTATTTCAAAATGATTTGGTAGTTTTATTTTTTGATGTTTGCAAATGTTGTATTTTCCCTTTAACAACTGTTCAATGTGTATGTTTGATTTTAAAGGGGAAAGAAAAGTATTCTGACTTTGGGTGTCTGCAACCCTCTGAAACGGGGATTTCATTTTGCGTAAAACTGAGCCCCCCCCCCCCCCTGCCCAATCCAAATTACTTTCTGACAGCGAATAATTCAAATTTTGTGAAGAAATAAACAAAAAGTCACTCAACGTCAATGGATTTTTTGTTCAATGTCTCATTCAATAGTGAATAACTTTGATATTGCCAGGAAAATAGCAATTGAAAAAACAAATCTATTTTTCAATGTGAAACACGAAAACAGCACAGGAAGCGCATCTTTAAAAACCACTGACTTGTTGGCCATTTTGTTCAGCGTTTCCAACGAGGCTGTCAGGTCCAACAGCATCAGGCCAGCCAACATCCCGTTGTCTTCCACACCGATCTCGTAGATGGCCTCCCCTTGGCCTTCTCGGAGCCTCCATTTCATCTGGGTCACCAGGTGCTCAAAGCGGCTGGGGGACGGGCTCACTAGCTTCAGCTGTTATTAAACAGGACGGTCAAAGTTTGGACTTTTGTTAACAGGGCAATTCCACGAAAAAGTGAACGCGGCTGAATAGTGGATATTGTAAGGCCAAAAAAACATAATAGTTCTGCTTCCGGTTTCCCTACCTACATTGTACGCTATTCTGACAGCCCCTACCCTAATTTTTTTTATGGGAAAATGAGAAAAAAACACCCAAACCATCAATTTCTACCTTTTACCGCAGACTCCTCCACATGATCGTACACAAAAACAATTGCAAAAAAAATAAAAATTCCCTACCTACCTACCCTATTTTGGAATGCCAATTAATCGGAAGCAGAAGTATTATTTTTTTGGGATTAAGTGGAAAATCTTCCAAACTACAAGCATCACAACATCAAATGTGGTGTCAAAATAAAGGGTACAACAAGATCTTTCATTTGAGTGGAATGCCAATGAGATGGAATGTACGGTAGTTAAGTGTGATTTTGGGTCAAAAAAATTGTTTTTTTGGCTAAAATCATGGATTTTTGGTAGTAATGTTGGCACTTTGTTTTAACATGCAAAATGTGACTGTTGAGAGTTGAGAGTTTTTGCGTTTAAGGCAGAGAGAAAGGTTCATAAATTGTAAGAAAAGAGTTTCATTATGTTGCATTTCATCAAACTCAGATTTTATGCCACGTTAGAAACCATGAACAGGAAGTAAAGTGAGTGACGTAACGTGAGTGACGTAACGTGAGTGACGTAACGTGAGTGACGGTACCTTCATGTAATCTTATGTGTCTTGCATCTAAAATACACACTTATTTGATTCACAATGGGTTTTAAAGTAGAGAGGTCAAAGTAGCCTGCTGGTATGTAAAAATAACATGAGTGATGGGGGAATTACTCAACACACGAAGCATACCATACAACAAGTCTGCTCCATACTAATTTGCATTTTGAAAGTATGTGGATAAAGCTTTGAAGTTGCATGTTACCATAAGAAAGATTGTCTGTTCAAATTATACGAATATCCTTATGTCAGAATTTTGTTGAAATGAAGGACCAAAGAAGCTCTGTTTCACTATTTAGTAATGTCCTATTAAATAGCCTTCAAAGAAATGATTTTAAGTGACTTAATGTTGACATCAAAACACAGTCCTGATTTGAGGCGTGCGATTGCACCCCCACGCCATCGCACGCCTTAAAGCTTCCCGAGAAGTGCGAATAATCGCACGCCTGAATCCCTCTGTACCGCACACCTCGGCATACATTTACAGCATAAGTATACATCTGTGAGCTCTTGAAGTGGCTTTACTGTAAACCAAGATAAATAATATGAAAAAAAAAAAAAACTTTTCAGTCCCAGTTTCCACAGAATCACACGCCTAGAAAAATCACACGCCTAGAAAAATCACACGCCTGGAAAAATCACACACCTAGAAAAATCACACGCCTAGCAAATCACACGTCTAGAAAAATCACACGCCTAGACAAATCCAGGTGTGCCTAATTTTCCACACGCCCATGAAGGACTGAAAACACAGTGTTAATTCAAATATGAATAAAGTAAGACTATGAAAATATGACTTAACAAAATAACGGTGACTCACCTTGTATTCAATATTTCCCTCTTCCACCTGGAACATAACCACAAAAAAAGAAACTTTTTAATTGAAACCTTGCAGAAATGGGGAGGGTAATATAAAAAAATAATTGTGTGGCTATCTCTAGTAAAAAGAACGAAGTGGCTATCGTTACGGCAGCCATTGTTTAGCGCCCTCTACGATACTTTTTTGACACGCACGCAGGCATATAAACATTTGTTTCCCCACGTTTTAGCAAGCAGTGCGACAGCTCAGTCGATAGAGGGTAGGATTTTGCACTGCGAGGTTGCGGGTTCGCATCTCAGTTTTGCACTCGAATTTTTTTCCTTTTTTAACCCGAGGCTTTGGAGGATTTTTTTTAAAAGGGAAATAAAGTCCGAATTTCATAACGTTCAAATTCACTTTTTTCCTTCTAATTTTATATTTTCTTCTCATGTTTTTATAAAAGTTGCAGTTACGGCTGCCGTAACGATAGCCACTGCCTAAAAAGAAATTGGCCCAGAGGTCGTAAACTTTCCAGTGAGAAACAGATCACCACCTTGCTCTCGAGTGCCATTTTTGTTTATGAATTTATTAAATAAAAAATTATCATATTAAGTCAAACAAAACAAAACAACAACAATCCTGCAATGTAATGTAAACATCGTCATAAAATCAAATGTCTCGTTTCTTTTCATGCTTTTGGTTCTTACTTTAACATGTTTAAGTTCTGGTTGAGCCGTAGCCCCATAAATGTGGCCTTTTTACTGGACTGCCTCCGTAAACATAGGCCACACATGATGACACATCCACACGTACAAACAACGTGTCGACTTTGCCAAATTTTGATTTTCACATTTAGGCTTACTTTGTAGATTTTTTTTGCTTTAGAAGCATTCTCACCCTCTATATAGGCTAATCAGAAAGTGCTGCCTTTTTCAGATGTTTAATTTTTGTGAAATTTCATGTTGAAATTTTGATACGCAAACGTGTGCAAATGTATCTGGAAATTTCACGAAAAATGGACATCTGAAAAAGGCAGCACTTTCTGATTAGCCTATATAGAGGGTGACAATGCTTCTAAAGCAAAAAAAATGTCAAAAGTAAGCCTGAATGTGAAAATCAAAATTTGGCAAAGTCGACACGTTTTTTGTACATGTGGATGTGTGGCCTATGTTTACGGAGGCAGTCCAGTAAATAGGTCACATTTATGGGGCTAGTTGAGCCGGTAACTAAAATTCACTCAAGAATATCACACCAACTTGGTGACGTGTCGTGATATTGGCATTGCCATCCCTGCCATCCCTGAAATACTTCTCTTCTCTCTAGCATGTCTAGTATTTGATGACAGACTTCCCTAACACCAATGCCGCTGTACCGTGCGGTAAAATACAGTGCACGTAAATACCGCGGTACACGTAATGTCAATGGCCAAAGAAAACATCGTTAAGGTGACGGATCCGGGAGCAATGACTTACCTCGGGCGGAAGATTTGACATTGAACAAGCTACAGCAGGCAACTTCTCCATGACAGGAGACACATCGAGGGGACTACAAGCACTAAACATCTTAAAGTTTCATTTGCAAATTCAATAATGGGGGATACATCCCGATATCGGGATATAAATTCAAAAATTCCGTGGACTGTTTACGTCTGCAACCGCTTACACTGCCGCCATCTTGCCAGCCAGCTGTCCCTTTGCCAATATGCAAATAACCACCTTATTTATAGTAGATTTCCATAATTTATTCCTGATGCAATGGCGTGCAATGTAAATAAGTAGGCGGGCCCAGGGAATAACATTTTTCTTTTCTACGAGGCGTCTCGCAGGGACTAACAACTGTATCTGGGCCGCATGAAGCGTGGGAATTAATAAAACGTTTTGTAAATATTAAATGTAACTGCATGTGATGTAACCGTGGTGTAATATTTTGAACAACACAACTTGCAAACTGTTGTGAAAGGAGGACAATAGCTCGATCTGCAAAACCATAGACTTTGATATTATAAATAGGCAATAAATATAGGTTCATCTGATGCAACTGGGTGAAACCGTCAAATGTTGCAGCGCTAACTGATCCTAATTGCTCTTTTACCAATGGGATCAGCAGAACAATGGAAAACAATTTTGGGCAACTTTCCATTCATCTGAAACATGTGAGAACTATGAAAACAATGAAATATTCCTGTTTGGTTAACATTTTGTAAAGTGCACTATTTTCCCAACATTTTGAAATGTTTTATTTTTGTCCGGACAACTGAGGAGGGCGCTTTCGCCGTGATGTCATGCGACGCACTCTTTTGACATTGGTTTGACCTTGAACCAGTCGCCATTATTTTTTCTGTCTGCAACCAAGTATAGTCAATGACCATAATGCACATGAGTCAGTTGGTGACAGAATGGTTCTCAGACTTAGTAAAAAGTAAAAAAAAAAAAAATTTCCCTTTAAAAAAATTCTCCAGAGCCATGAATCAGAAACAAAAAAAGGGAATTTCTTTTGACATTATGCAATATGTTGCACACTAAGAAAAATTGATAAAGATTATTCAGTATCCCAAGATATACGGATCTTGAATTAATAACGACTACAAATTATACTTATCTTGTTATATCTTTCCCGGTGGCGTAACTAATTAGGGGGCAGGGCATGAGGGGCTCGATGCATATCCGCCAAGCTGCCTTGTTCCTAGCTGCCTAGCTTACTTTTTGAACCAAAATCGCTTTTAATTTTATATAAATATATTCACATCTTTGGATCAGGGTTTATGATCATAGCAAGTTTCAAGTTCATGTGTTATTCAATTTTGAAGAGCTGGGAAGAATTATCTTCAGGGGAAAAAAACGTTAAGAACCAACACAAAAGCAACAGTTAAAGGGAAGGTACAACATTTGCAAACATCAAAAAACCGAAATGATCTGATTATCACGAAATACCTTACTGGATTGTTAGGGAATGACAGTCTAAAGCATCCTGTAAAATTGTGGATCCTGGTGGGCTGACATTTTCAAGAAAAATTGTGTTTTTCCAACGCTGGTCGTCCGACCACCGCTGGAGAAAACTGGCTATTTTCAAAAACTACTCCATATTCCTTATATTTGGTTATTCCACATTGTCTTTGCAATTGATTACACACCTGTGAACGGGTACAAGCCAGCTTAATTGATACTCTGCCATACAATACCCCAAAGTCTATAAATTGCTCCATTTCATCTTAAGTGGGGTCAGGGAACCGGACTACAAGAATATAATTGGTTTTCTTGGTTTTTCCAGCATCTACAACTAGCCAAAAACGTGAAACAAGTCAGTTTAACAATATTTGCTAAAACATATAAATGCTCCAATGCACTTATTTCTGTAAATTGCAGCCAAAGCCAATGTTGTACATTCCCTTTCATCAGGAATCAATCTCCTAGCTCTATGGCCTAATAGTCTAATATGAACAAATTCAGATCAGTGATCGGGTTGAACCCAATCACCTCCAATAAAAAACTTCCATAGCTGACGTAGGAAATGTCCTCAACATACAAAAGTGCAGGATGCGCAGGGCTACAACCAATGAAGACAAAGTACATTTAAAAAACAAAAACCACATAATAATTATCTCAATCGGATCAGATTTGTTTTGAAAAAATGTTTTAATTCTCTATTGAATAAATGCACAAACTTTTTACAGTGGCATAAAATACTACTGGAAAAAACAAAATTAACAAATACATGTATATGCCAAAAGAAAATGTGCAATTCACAGCGAGGTTCGTTAATACATGAACCTCTTATGAAAGATCATCGCACGTAAAATAGCAAAGACTGAAATAATGTCTGTAAACTGGTTATTTATGTATGGTCATGAAAACAATCTACTAATAATGATTCCTACACAATGTCAGATGAAATGTTTCCCTAAATAACATAACTACTTTTAATAGGATGAATTCTCCTTACGGGGACAAAAACAAATGTTTACACTGCAAGTCTCTATTAAATAAGAAATTTCAATCAAAAGGTGTAAAGCACCAACTTTTAACATCCCACAAAATGTAACATCCATTCTGGCTACACAACAGGATTTTTTTTTTTAATTAAAGGCACTGCATATTTATAAAACATTCCTATGAAACAAGTGACTGATGAAAAATGAGTTTGGCAAAAGCCCTTTCTGGCAATCCATCAGTGTAGAATTTTGTTAAGTTTATAACAAGCCCATAATTCCTATTCAAATACTGTGAACGTTTCTACTTCTGAATCATCATCTCATGTTTTATCCCCAAATCCTTTTGAATATGAAAATGTGAAAATTGTTGGATGATTGGTATGTCGTTGCAGCAACTTTTCCCATGAATGAAAAGTACAAGTGATCAAGTGATTAAACTCCTTCCACATAAGTTGCCAAACTATCTCGTTGGGGAAAAACGCTTAAGATGGCTGTTTGTTTTTGTCATTTCTGTCAATGCAAGACAGCTAAAAGGAACTTGGGTACATGTAGAAACAAAACAGCTCACAATGAACAACTCTTGCACAAGTCATAAAGAATGACACACTTTGCTAGGTGGATAAGTCCACCAATTAAATAATGCCACTTATAACTATAATGGAAAACGTGAAATGTAGTTTTGATCGGGCTTGCATTTTCTAGGATAGCATTTGCTTGCATAGCAGTGACAACCAGTGATTGCAAGCAACAAATAGATAAGCAGAACTATCAAGTTTTTAATAAAAGACGAATATTTAGCACCGGAAAAAAAAGACAGAACTCGTTTTAGCCGTGCCAGCCAGACTCGTAATTAGTGGCCAAGTTTCCATTTTTAGAAGGGGACGGTTCGTTGTCAGAAATTCACAACAGTTCAAACAGTAATTGTTTGGTCCAAAAATAAGTCTTACTGCTGAAAAAATGCAATCTCCAAAGAGGGTAAAAAACTGGTACCTAAAATTTGTTTCATTCAAGACAAATCTCAAAATTCTGCCTCTGCTAGTGAAAGTTTTTTTAACTGAAAAAAAAAATTAAAATACATGAAATCTTATATGAATGCCTTAATTTAAAAAGTATTACACTGTAAAAAATGATTGGCAATTATAAATGAAATGGTATGGAGTTTACAGAAAAGCAAATTACATTCACATGGCAACATAACATTCCGACTTCGCATCTCTACACAAGAATAGCAAAGCGCATTTTTGGCAGAGCGTTGCATATTCAATCGCATGGCCATGCAATTAAGCTACATTTAACAATACAATACATTCATATAACTCTTTATCACTAAAATATTTCTTTACATAAACTCAAACGCAGTTCACGAAAACCCCCAAAATCAATTTAACAAAAAAATCTTATAATACAATCATAAAAATGAAAGCCAGAAATATAATAGATTCAGTAACACACCCAACTACTTTTATGTGGTAATGATCCAGTATTTGAGCATTTCATTTACAAACAAGCAAATAACTTAATCCGTATGTTTAATAAATCATATATGAGATTTTCGTCAGTTATTAAACCTAACTGGTTCTTTTTTTTTCACATTTTTTTCTTCTTTTAAGTTCTGTTCAACTCCTTACTTATTTTGGGACCATGCAATTCCGCTTCATTTACAAGTAAACAAAAATGTGACATGTCTTAGAAAATACAAGGGGACAATGAATACCTAATTTGCCAATGATTATGAGCTGAAACAAAAAAACAATAGCAGAAAAAAAAGACAAACTTTGAACACGGGCCAAAACACAATTTTATAACGTTAACAGGTTTACTCCTTGCAATGTTAATTTTGCAATTCGGGCAATACGCAATGCAGAGTTTGCCATGGAGAGTCCATTTTTTCAAGTTTACGGTCGACAAAACACGGCCCATTTGAATGAGTGTCAGTAGACAACTTGAGCTAATTTGCTATAGATTGGGTCACAGCGTTCTGCCGCCTTACAAAAACACCATATTGATAAAAAGGAAAAAAAAGGGCAAACATATACCGGTACTCGAATCATACGCTTACGAAACTACTGACCGGAAAAACAAACAATTTCAAATGTCCCGCGCTGCGAATTTGTCGACCATCTCCCACAATGCACTGGAAAAAATAACACTCCAGGACACACTCTTGGTGGTGCACTGCATTGTGAATCACCCGAATTGATCACTGGTCATTTTCAGACCCACAAATGTCAGCATACTGGTCTTTGCATTCATTTTTTTCCAAGAAATGCATATATAAGTTCAACCTGTAATTGTACTGAGATTGTACACAATGCATTCAAAGGAAGAGCACATCATTTGTGCATTATGTTCGTTTGAAGCAACACAAGTGCTCAAAATCTAAAGAAGGGTGCTTAACAACTAACCTGATGAAGGTTTAGCTCAGTGAATGCTGTATATTCCAAGAAAAAAAACAATATTCTAGGATCGCGATTTCAAATCAAAATCTGCTGAGTCGTGTTTTAAATCGCCCCTGAATTCAGCATTTGGGACACGTTCTCATTCAGCCGATTGTAGCTACGCGATGTCGCGCACTGAACCGATGAATTATAGTAACAAATTATAGGCCTCTCTCACATATCCGTTTCAGTCTGATCCATAATTTCGAAAATTTAAAGCCAAAAAGGCAAAAAACACTCGTATAACAGTCCATCCAGCAGTGATATTTTTAAGAGTCCGTGGAATTATTTCTATGTAAATTTAACAAATGCTGAATAACGTAACGGATAAAATGATGATTATATAGAAATAAAACTTTAGATTATGCAAATGCTATTAAGTTAAACATGGCCCCTGCTTGGTCCACAGGAGGCACAAACAAATATTTTAGGTGGGATTAGGATCTAGGCGATGTTTTTTTCTACTTAATATTTCAGCAGACATTCCAAAGTTAACTCATTGTAATTCTGGGGTGTTTTTTTTTTTCAACTGACCAGTGACTTAAGTTACAAAAAAAACAATTTGCAGGAATTTGGAAAAGAAACTACAATAAATAATACCAGGCTAATCAGATGGTTAAAAAAGACATGAAAAATATCCCCATATCACCCCATGTCAAACACAAATGCCGTTTTCAAATCATAATTGCTGCTGTCAATTAGCGGAGAAAAATCACTGACCCCAGTTTTACCCAATGGTTATTTTTTAGTTACCCCTCCTAAATGTTGCTTTTGCAGCTGCAGTCGGTTTACTTCTTGGTGCTCCCTCTGGGTGGCGTGATGGGTCGGCCCGAGTTCAGTCCCCCGTATTGGTATTTCGCCTTCTTCTCCGAGGGTTTCAGAATCTGTTAGCAAAATCCAGGTGTTTTTTTAATGTTAGAAATGTTTCAATATTCGCTTAGTTTTGCTGAGACTGAATTTGCTTCCACTGCATTTGCATGGCGTATGAATCGGCCTTTAGACTGCACATTCTCCTTAACTACAAAACCATACATAACTCCTTTTTTCACCACTTGATCCACATCGGCACATTATCATGAAATGCTGTGGGATATATCTATCTCACAAGCAAAGGCAAGGCTACAGTTATAACTGGATTTCATACTCCTTTGAAAGCAAGCATAATAATAATAATAATTTGGGAGGCTAATCATCCTTACTCGCAGCTGGTATGCTGAATTGCAAGGACGCGGCTACAATGTGGTCGGGCCGCTGGCACGTAAAGGCGCCTATGGCTGCCGGCCACATCGACCCATATACGACCACGGAGCACAGCCTGAGATCGAAAGTGTTTGATTTTTCCTTCCGGGAGGAAAACCGGAGTGCCCGGAGAAAAACCCTCGTGGCACAGGAGAGAACCAACACACAACTCTACTCACATGCGATCCGCGGCCAGGATTCGAACCGTGGTCACCTTGGTGAGAGGCGAGCGCTTTACGCACAAGCCACCCATGCCACCCATAATTGTGACATATCGTTATGAACAATGGTAACAGACTAAACAGATGTAATTAAAAACTGTAACCTTTTAACCTCATGCCATATAATGGCTTCGCGATCCTAACTTAAAGGTATAGTCCATCATTTGTAATTTGTGCATTTTGTTCGTTTGAAGCAACCAACGTGCTCAAAATCTAAAGAAGGTTGCTGAACAACTAACCTGATGAAGTTTCAGCTCAGCTTTAGCTGTATATTTTGAGAAAAAAACAACATTCTAGGATCTTGATTTCAAATCAAAAATTGCTGAATCATGTTTTGAATTGGGCCTGAATTCAGCGTCCGGGACATGTTCTCACTGAGTCGATTGCAGCTACGCGATGTCGCGCACTGATCCGACGAATTATAGCAACTGCACGCTCTTGTACATCGTGCCAATGCTTGCGTGCGCTTCGCCGAATAAAAAAGCGAACTACTAATTTGAATTTCCTACGGAGCTTCTTAAGAAGCACCGTTGGAAAGGCCTTCTTCTGTTGATTTCTTCAAAATGACAGTTGCCAGAAAGAATAATTTCACAGGGAGTTTAGTCCCCTCACTATCTTTAACCCAAGTATGTTTTTCAACAATAATTACACCAGTTACTTTTTTGGATAGCTGCAAATGATGGACTCTGGCTTTAAAAGTTAGTTAAGACTTGAAGGTTTGCATGGTGGAAAGCTTAAAGATGTAAGGTTTACAGTAGCACCATGTAGTCAAATCTCTTTTGTGGTTCTCAATAAGTTGTACACGACAGGAGTAAGGCAGACAAATACTGGCAATGAGGTGTGCAGCATGAGGTCATTGTGTAATGGAACTCTTTACCCTGCACTATTTGAACGGCACAGAAAAGAGGACTAAGCGAATTCATACCTGAAATGAGCACATGAGTGTTTCGTCGACACTCATCATGCCTCCTGCATTGTCGAACTCCCCGCAATAGTTGGGGGCTGAGAATAACGTCACTAGCTGACGCTTGGCAAAGAACTCATAGCCATCTTCAACGACCTGCAAACCAAACAAAAACAAGGTTGACCACTTTGTCCATAAACAAAAATCGTACGGGTAGAGTTGAAGTTGCCATTTGCCCCCTATCAGAGTCTTTTCTCAGCAGACTTGAAGCCATATTGGAGAGACATATTTACCGGGATCAAACTTCACAGAGCTGCTTACCAGGGCCCAATTTATTTCATGGCTGTGCTAAGTACAGAATTCAGCGCTTATGATACCATTCCTTGCTAACGGCGCTAGCAGAAAAATTCTGTGCTAACCCTGTAAGCACAGAATCCTTAGTTATGGGATGTACGCATGCACAGAAGTAGTCTAGGGGCTAGACGTTGCATGGTTTGATACGCGATAACCCGCCGCTGCGATAACCCGCTGCCGCGAGAGGGCACTGTCACTACCAACCGACATCGCCCACGGACTTGTCAGTAGCAATGTCTAGGGCATCTGCTTCTGGCCGTGTTGTGTGCACGCACCTGTTTGGCCTATTATATGCAGCGCGCAATTCAACGAATTCATAGTAGTTCTGAAAGCAAACTCTCAAATTTCTTAAAGTACAATACCATAACAGATGCAGCAAGACCTTTGTGCAACTTCACTGGTCAGCTCTTTTGTTGTGAGTAGTATGTGTAGAGACTGAAAATGGACCATAATCGCCTGCAGAAGTCGCACTTGCGCACTAGTTTCCCCCATTTTTCGGGGGGAGATTTCAGGAGATACCCTAGACTTTGCTACTGACAAGTCCGTGGGCAATATTGGTTGGTCGTGATAGGGATCTTTCGTGGTGGCGGGTTACAGCGGCGGTGGGTTATTGCATATCAAACCATGCAACAGGTTATTGCGTATCAAACCATGTAACATCTAGCTCCTAGACTAGCACTGAAGCCAAAATTCCTTGCTAACCCGTGAAATACGCTTACTGTAAGCGTGGAATTTTTTGCTACAGTAATCAGGGATTTTTCGCTAACGGTAAGCAGAGCCAGAAAATTGGGCCAGATCAGCTGAGAACCAGTCCCATGCCATATGCACTGCATGACACCTGTTTTTGCTAAGCAAAAGGCTTCTGTGCTTACAATGTAGCAAATTAATTTCTGTGCTTGGCAGCTCCTTAAACTTGGACTGGGTAAAAAGGTACAGCCCAAAAACGATACCAGTTTATGTATGTTGTTACTGGTAGGATATTTCCAGTCGAATTAAAACAAAAATGTTCATTTTATGGAAATGCTCTTGGCATCAAGCAGGTCATTGAAAATCAACTCTAACTTTTTGATGTAATACATTGCCTTGCTGTAGACAACTTAAAATTCTGCACCGTACCTGATGAGCTCTGCATATCAAGTCCAAGTCATGTTTGTTCAGGAATTTGGAGACCACGTCGATGCCAAACGTGAAGGAGACACCGCGGTCGTTCTCGCCCCAGCCCTGCGTATCCTTGTCTGGATCGGACCATAGCAGGTCACACAGCAATCCTGGCAAAAAGAAACAAAAACAAACATTAAAAATTGTTTACGTTATAAATACTTTTTAAAAATTATGATGGCAGGTTGACTGAGTAACCTCGGATGTGCTTTAGGCCAAAAAAAAAAAGTCTCCGGTTTCTGGTATGGAGCTTGTCCATTGACTTTTTTGCTTCAAATGTCGACTGATGACTGCAAATGGTGCCCGACTAAACTTAGTGCAAATATATGGGAGTTCAGAGAGGCTACATTAAGCTTATTCTCGATCATAACCCCATCTAAAAACACGTTAAAATTGTGCAGCAGCAGAATTCCAGTCAAACCAGTGAGTTTGGCGGTTTTGAGACATCATCTTTCATTGAAAAAAAAACTTTTTCATTTTGCCGACGCGCATGGCTACGGCGACGCGCGCACATACCAGAAACCGGAGACTTTTTTTTTTTGACCTTAGGGTTAATGAGCATTTTGGAGGGAATGGCTTTCAACAGACTTTTGCATCGAGAAAAATGAAGATGCACTTTTGGCCTTAGGATAGTGAAGTGCATTGCACTTCTTTTCTTATTATTAAAATGTTCATTTTTTTATGTGAACTAATGGCACAACAAATTTTACCCCTAATAAAATTTCATTCTCACAGATGTTCAGTACCAAAATTTCTATCTCAGTTCAAGTTATTGTTTTCTATGGCAGGTTTTGTGTTAAGCCAAAATTCTGACTCAATATTTATGTTTTTCCAAAACTTGGGATAAATGTTCCATTTTAAATCTGTTTAACAATACATCGTCTGTTTTCATCTAAGGTTTTAATTCTGTGTGGTTTTAATTCCTTGGGTTATTTTTAGTAATGTATTCATTATGTCTTTTATTGTGATTTTTTTGTAATTTTTGTCGTTATTATATCATGTTTTTGTGTTATCCAGGGCCCCCAGGGAGAACAGTTCATTGACAACTGATGGGGCTACCCTGGTAAAATAACGCAAAATAAATAAATAAATAAACAGCAGTAAAGCCAGCTCCAAACAAATAAACAACAGATGTACATCTAAGTTCAAAACAAGTCAATCGCAAATAGGGCTGCCCCAAATATACCAAATATCAAATATTTCATCATTCGATCATCAACATGATAGCTTTTTGCCGGTTTGAATATTCGAAAACCAAAGAACTGTGCATATACGCACACGACTGTGATGTTAGTTTTTGGTAACGTTGTAGCGCTTTATTGTCAGGTGTCACTTTTTTTGTCAAAGGTAACTATTTTGTTGATGGCGGTTCATTGTGCCCATCCTTTTAGCAGGTTAAAGGGAATATACATTTGCAAACATCGAAAAATAAAACTATCAAGTTTTTACAAAATACCTTACTAGGATGTTAGTAAATGACAGTCTAAAGCATCCTGTAAAATTATGGCACCTGGTGTGAAGTCAGTTTCAAGAAAATTGTATTTTTGGATACATTTCCAACGGTGGTCGGCCGACCACCGTTGGAAAAACCTAACTACTTTTCAACTACTGCTCCAAATTCACCATTTTTTTTCAGTCCAATTTTGTTTGCTATTGGTTACAATGTTCATGAACGGGTGCAGGCCAGCTAGACTGGTTCCCTTACCTTACAATTTTCCGGCATCTAGAAATTGATCCATTTTATCTTTAGTGGAGTCAGGGAACCAGACTACTCCACCATTTGTGTTTTTCTTGGTTTTTCCAGCATTTTCGAACGCAAAACTTCAAACATGTCAGTGTAACAATATTTGATCTAATATAGTAACCCCTCAAATAGTTCATTTCTGAAAATTACAGAAAAAGCCAATGATGTACATTCCCTTTAAAGCCCTTGACAGTTTATAAAACGCCCACTGAAAACGAAAATGTTCGTCAAGTTGGCATGACATTTGCTCAATTTTTGGTCAAATATTTTGGTCAATTTACTGGGGACAGACAGACAGACAGACAGACAGACCGACCACCAAGTGACATGTAGAAGCTCCTACCAGAGCTTAAAAAAAAAAAAAAAAAATATCCCATCATATTCACACTATTTGGTATTGTCATATTCAACAGGACTACCACTGAAAGGTAAACAATATTACTCATACTTTATCTCCATGTCTCCCAAAAATAGGTACGTAAACTCTTCTCTTTGTAATTTAGACAGTGATCAGATTAAATCAACTGCCAATATGTAACAATGGTATCAAAAAGCAGTTACGGTGTTCGGACTTTCAGCGTGATACGACCAAAAATATCCACCAAGGGTTTTGAGTTGATCAGGCCACCCAGGATGGGTGAGTCAGTGAACTCTATTCAACTGAAGGCCGATTCGATCTGTACAACCCAAATTGGCGAGATGTTCTGGGCTGGTAATACGCGTAATTCATATTTCCTGGGGTTCTAATCCAGTCATGGTCATGCGTACGTGAACGTAGCTGCAGGGCTGAAGATATCAACACTAGTTAAAGGGAATGTACAACATTTGCTTTTGCTGCAATTTTCAAAATAAATAAATTTGGAGGATAAGTATGTTGTAGCAAATGTTGTTAAACTGACTTGTTTCACGTTTTGGGCTTGTAGATGCTGGAAAAAAACGAGAAAACCAATCATGTTCTTGTAGTCTGGTTCCCCGACCCCACTTAAGATGAAACGGAGCAATTTATAGACTTTTGGGAATTGTAAGGTCAGAGAATCAGTGTAGCAGCTAGCTTGTACCCCTCCACAGGTGTGTAATCAATTGCAAAGAAAATGCGGAATAACTAATTAGGAAAAATTAGGAGCAGTTTTGAAAAAAAGCCAGTTTTCTCCAACTCTGGTCGGCCGACCAGCGTTGGAAAAATAATTTTTTTCTTGAAAATGTCAGCACACCAGGAGCCACGATTTTACAGGATGCTTTAGAGTGTCATTCCCTAACAATCCAGTAAGGTATTTCGTGATAATTTGATCATTTCGTTTTGTGATGTTTGGAAATATTGCATCTTCCCTTTAAATAGTACACTTTATATTTTTCAGAAGTACTTACATTTATATTAATTACACAGCTCAGAAAAACAGTTTAAAATTAGCTGGAAAAAAATGTGTCTGCTGCACATTCTAATAAGGACTCTATTCCCAATTGAACATTTGTTGCTGATTTTTCTGAATATAACTGAGTCGCTTTGCAGAACAAAATTATTAAGCAAAATATGTCACTTTTTTTCAATTTAAGAACTTACATGTAAGCAGGTTGTGATTACATCGATTATTAACTTTTTAAGCACTTTAGCACAATGAAAAAAAAACCTAGATGTCTAAAAAGTGCAATTAACACAATAAAGCTATGTGATACACTATGTGACCGGCTCCACAATAAAGGGTATTATGTCGCAAAAAAGTGAAATTGAGTTATATACATGGTTGGAAAGCCCACAATGTAAGTTTTCATTTGGTATGTAATTGAGCTCCATAGCCTCTCCCGTTCTGGAGATATGACGGTCACGTATAAATTGGCATATTAATTACTTTCTTGGAGTTCAAATTACACAACTGAGAGAACAGGCTTTGAAATAGTTGACTTTGTTGGAGAACAACAGAACGATGCACCCAAAATGGTTGTTTTTTTTCCACTTTGTTCATCAAAATCAACATTTCAGTGAATGAAACCTGAAACTGTAGGTATTAAAGATGTCAGTCATGACAAAAAATGAAAATCACATTTTGACGAGATTTTCACCCTCTCAATGTTGAGCGGGCCATTACACAATAATGCTCAGCGGGACTTAATACCCTTTTTTGTGGAGCCGGTCACATATTACAATTACTCCTTGATGAATCTAGAATACGAAAGAGAGTGTTAGGGCAGTTTGGGCGGTACAAGGAGTAACATGCAGGGTGTTTTGAGGTGGTACAGGAACTACATGTCCTGGGTTATTATGAAGTGTTACGATCCTTCCTTTCATACAATGTACAAACAAGCTCTGCTAACCTGTTTCAGGGACATCTGTGGGTCTCATGATGCGTCTGATCTGCTCCATGGACTGCAGGTCTGGTGACAATCCTGTACCCATCAAAGAAACCACAAATAATATGTCTTAATCAATTTTTTTACCTGGGTACAATTTAAGGGTATGTTTGTGCTGCCACTTCTCCCTCCATCTCCCATAGCTGCCAACTTTCAAAATCCCAAGGAGTAATCAACTTGCGCGGTTCAACTGTGCGTATACTAAACATCACGTGCATACTGTACCAACTACAGGGTGAGTAAAAAAAAAAACTAAACCCAAATGTCGGGAACATTGTTTTAGTGCTGCATATAGCACTTTCAAAATCTAGTATATGAAAGCCCAATTCATAAGCTTTCTTTTAGTACAAGAATCATTCAAATCACCCATGTATTTAAACACAAACACCATTTTAAACTGTTGTACAGGGATCACAAAAAAGTTAAGTGTTCTTTCAGCAAACCAAAAACAAATCACATAGGGATGTGTGTGAATTAGGGATTGTTTTCGTTTTGCTGAAAGAACGCATATATTTTTTTGTGATACTTTTTTTTGCAGTACTTCATGACATTTGGGTTTTGGGTTTTTTTTACTCACCCTGTATACCAATGGTGTACATGTGCATACCCTTCTCTCGTGATTATCTGTCATGTCTCTAGGGTATTTCCAACAACCCAAAAAAAACTGAACATTGCGTCTGTTCAAAATGGAACACTGGATGTCTTATTTGCAACAAAAACAAATATTTGCAGCAAGTCCAAAATCCTCATTTTACAGATAACCACAGCCAGGCAGTTTAGCCATTGCACGTACCTCCATGACAGCAGAAGATTTTCTCATCAATGATGGCGGCTATCGGCAAACAGTTAAAACAGTCTGTGAATGTCTTCCATAGCTTGATGTTGTAGCGTCTTTTACCTACGTTAAGACACAAAGATTCATGAATTTTAGGATAGGTTCTTGAATTTTATAAAATCAAATCAGCTTTTTTTTTTACCATTATACAGTGCTGATCTTTCTGATGATCCATCAAACTTAAAATCAAATTGGCAATTAACAGATTGACCCTCCCTCTCTGGCTGGCAATGTCAACAAGGCCTGCCCAGCAGTCAAAATAAATCAAGTGACTGTTTTTAACAGTTGAGTGCCACCTGCCTTTACAAAGCAGGATTGACTGACTGTGATTGTTATGGAACCTGATATGAGTTGACTGCAGGCGATTGATAAGCCGGCTGCGCCTAGCAGTTACAGGGGTGTGACTGACCACTGATAAAAATAGCTGAAAACAGCTGAAAAAGGTGTAAAAAAAGCTGAACTTTGGAAATCTTCTCTACTTTTGTACACAGCAAGAGAGAGAAACAGCTGAAATCCAAAACAAAAAAAGCTGAAATCAGCTTCAAAGCTGAGATTTCACACCCCTGCAGTTACCTGATTTTGTCTGTTGATGGAATTTGACTGTCACAGTGCCTACAAGAAATATGATCTGACTGTCGGTGACTAGCCTGTGTAAAAGGCAAGGCAGGGGAACAGGATTGGCTTTTTGACTGTCTGTGACTGATCAAACAAACGGAGGGTATTGCAAATTGTAAATTAAGACATCAGCCTTACATTCGTCATAGAAACCGTAGATCCTGTTGATGCTAGCACACTCGTGGTTGCCCCTCAAGAGAAAGAAGTTCTCCGGGTATTTGATCTTGTAGGCCAGGAGGAGGCAGATAGTCTCCAGCGACTGTTTGCCCCGATCCACGTAGTCGCCCAGGAAGAGATAGTTGGACTCTGGTGGGAAGCCGCCGTACTCAAACAGCCTCAACAGGTCTGTGTACTGGCCGTGTATATCACCTGTAAAGAAAATTCAGGAAATATTAGTATGAGAATTTTGACTTTTAGGGTTAAAAGTCCATTTATAAATACCTGAGAAAGTTTACCCATTCCTATTGGTCGAGAGCCTGTCACGTGGGAGGATAAAACACTGGTGGGTGGATAAAACACTTTTCCCGGTGTGACATGAAATTTTGACCCCAATGAAATCAGGTCCCTTTTACCCTTTCATTGGTTGAACGCTCACAATCTTCACTTTGCATGCGCAATAGCACCAATGAGCCCGTATTTCATAGAGTCCCAAATTCACACTACACCGGCACTGCTGCATTCTGCGCCATATCCCACAGTACGCTCCACGCGTGTGCCAATCTCCATATTAGGAGATTTTTAGGTTCCACTCACGACAGGCACATACGGTACCATAAACATAGCTAAAGGGGTGTTTCGAAAACATGAAGTAGAACGTTGAACAAAATGTTTGGAATTACATTATTTTTTATTTGTTTGGACTTTTTGTCCGAAAGGAATGAATTTCGGCTAGGGCAGTTATCTGTGTCCAGGCCCCAGGACAGTTCTAAAGTACTTGTTTAAAGGGAAGATACAACATTTGCAAACATCAAAAAATAAAATGATCACATTATCACGAAATACCTTACTGGATTGTTAGGGAATAACTGTCAAAAGCATCCTGTAAAATCGTAGTTCCTGGTGTGCTGACATTTTCAAGAAAAAATGTATTTTTCCGACACTGGTCGGCCGACCAGCGTTGGAGAAAACTGGCTATTTTCAAAACTGCTCCTAGTTTTTCAAATTTAGTTATTCCGCATTTTCTTTGCAATGGATCACATACCTGTGAAGGAGTACAAGCCTGCTAGACTGATTCTTTGACCTCACAATTCCCTAAGATCTAAAATTGCTCTGTTTCATCGTAAGGGGTTCAGGGAACCAAACTACAAGAACAAGATTGATTTTCTTGGTTTTTCCAGTATCTACAAGCCCAAAGCCTGAAAACACGTCAGTTTAACAATATTTGCTATAACAAACCAATCCTCTAAATCCATTTCTTTCTGAAAATTGCAGCAAAAGCAAATGTTGTGCATTCCCTTTAAAACCAGCCAGGTACATGTACATATTTATTTCCTTATTAGAAATTTAAAGCTGCACCGTCACAGCAGTCAAAATCAATCAAGTGACTGTTTTTAACAGTTAAGAATTCCCTTGTTGATTTGATATAGCCATGCTTTGACTGGAGTTGATTGATATGCCAGCTGTACATGTACATGCATGGTACACGTGTACCTACCAGTCACCTCTGTTGTCTGTTAATGGAATTTGACTAGTCACAGTGTTTACACGAATACGATCTGACTATTTTTTTTTACTATCCTGTACAGGTAAGTCAACAAAAGCGAAACCCAAATGTCGGGACAATTGTTTTGGTGAAGTTCTGCACGTAAACAAATCACATAGGGATGTGTGTGAATTGTTTTTGTTTTGCTGAAAGAACGCACTCTTTTTTGTGATCGGTGGACAGAACTTTAAAACGGTGGTTGTGTTTAAAATTCCGTAACTTGAAAAGTACATGAGTGATTCGAATGATTCTTGTACTCAAAGAAAGCTTATGAATTGGGATTTTATATCCTAGATTTTGAAAGTGCTACATGCAGAATTTCACTAAAACAATTGTCCCGACATTTGGGTTTCGCTTTTTTTGACTCAAAATGCATGGCAGGGGAAGTGGAAGAAATGTACGACTGTATGTGAATGATCAAACAATAGGAGGGTTTAATTTGGGGGCAGAATATTTCGACTAGATAAGACAACTTCAGCACAAAGATGTTGGAAACATTTAGCCAGCCCAAAATATGAGATTAGCAGCCTTATATCGTGGACATGCACTCAAACAAGCCCCAAATTAGTGAGAATGTAGTGAGTGAATGTTATTTCCTTGTATGTACATGTACATTGTACATTTAAGAGTGGGCTGCCCTTGTAATAAATGAATTTCATAACAAGTCAATACTTGTCTGGAAAAGCTGAATCATATTTTATCCATAAACAAAGCAATTTCATGATGGCAAAGTTCTGTACAAAGTTCCATTGTAACACTCTCAACACTTACTTATTTTTAGATTTGTGTAAAGTATGGACTAATGCCTTAAAAGAAATTATGTGATTTTTTAGGTAAGGTCTTGAAAAATTATACAGCTATTTGTAAGTGAACAATTTTGGGAGGTCATTTGTCTTACGCTTTTATACTTACATGTAATATGTATGTGTAGTGATAACATGTTAGGATTACATTTATAAAGTTATACCAATAAGCTACCTGAATCCATCAAAATCCACACCTCTGTCTTGGAGTATTTCGGCAGATTCAGGATAACTCCATGTAGAAAATGTTGAGGGACTTTGATGGATTCAGGACAGAAAGCCTAGCGGTACTGCAGGATTTTGATGGATTAAGGATATCTCCATACTGAGCAGTTTGGGGACTTTGATAGATTCAGGGTCTCAACAGTTTTACTCCTTGGCTATATGTTTGGTGTGTATGAGGTACCGGTATATGTACTACACTGGTGGATTCTGATGGACTCACTGGTGGATTCTGATGGACTCAGGACACCAACATTTGTTTTGCATGACAAAATTGATGGATTTGCGTGGATTCAAGATACTTTCTAGTGAAAATACCACCTTTTTTACCTTTTTTCGGCCAAAAATAATTGAGGTGCATGTAGGCAATCTGGCCATAAAAATCCAGGTTGCTTTGGTTATTGTAAACACACTTTATTAAGGGGGGGGGGGGGCTAGAAAGACACCACATGTAACTGTATTCAATGTGGATACAGATTACACATGGAACAAAGAATACCCTTTCATCTTTAATGGAACTGAAACTTTTCCCCTCTTTTGAATATCATTTAATTAACAGTGCATTGTACAATGCACATTCCCAGTTCCTCATTTGTACATAAAAGCATGCAATATAAACACTTTTGTTCAAACACATGTTGAAAGTATCCGTATGGTGTTTATTCCATTCATTAGACAAACAAAATTGTGCGGTCATGTATCCATTTGTGTCATCTTACCCGAGGCACACTTTTAACAACACCAGGAAGTATGGTCTCATTTCCTTAAAACTTTGACTAGACATATTCCGCATGATCACATCGCATATGAACATGTACATGTACAGCATGTTATAATCAAATTATTCATAGCTATAGGCCTAGTGTAAATTTCAATTTTTTTCTCGATGCTTGTCAAATACTGTACATTTTAATTCATTTTTATTATTACATTGAAGGAGGACAGGAGTCCAGAGCACGTTTTTTTTCTATCAAATCATACCGATAATTAAAACAGCAAACAAAATATTAGTAAATAGGAAAATGTACAGAAAATTAAACGTATGCAACCATATGTGTACATGTACCGTAGTTCCATCTTGGTGGGTTTATCTACAGGTATGGTATGTAATTTACTGGTTTTAATAATGTCATTATTCATGTAGTAGCGCTGTACCGGTATGTCCCAAAATGTAAAATGAGATGGAAGGTGTTTCACCAAAAGTATATGTGACGGTTATAAAAAGACACCCCAGTTATTTTTTGGTTCAACCTTATTTACATGTAAATTAATATTAACCTAGCGCCCCCAACGTCTGATATCGGGCACTAGCTCATTCGTTAATTCCCGAGAACCTAAAGTAACATCACTTCATGTAAATCTTGTCTTCACATATACAGATACGGAATAAATTCGCTGAGAAAAATCTGCATATACCGCAACTCAAGAGCTTCCGATCCCTAATTTCAAGAGTGTCACAAATGGTGGAAGATCCGGCTCTTAGAAAAACACCAGCAAATACTTCAGTACATTCCTAAAATGATATAGTACCGGTATGTATACAATGTACATTGTAGGTGAATTCCCAATATGTAGACGTGTGTTACCCAAAATCATGAAAACGCAAATCAACCATACGTGTACAAATGTACCAGCAGTAGGTGAAGTCCCAAAAGTATGTTTGGGTGTACAGTGTATCTCCACATGATCAGGAAGGTGTACATGTGCATGTACATCATTCTACATGTGTACAATGTATGTATGCATGGAGGTACATGTAGGAAACCTCCATGTACATGTCTGTGTACATGTATCTCCAACAATCTGGTACACGGTACCCTCTGGAGACATGTGCACAGATTGTATGATAGTCAATTTAACAGGGCAATTTCTATATAGGTGAATACATGTAGGTCTCCACAAGGTTATCACGAAATAGATATATTGACTTTACTCAAAAACTAGGAATTTCCAAGGTGTGTTGATCTGTCGCAAATTAAAGTATTTCATGTGAGGGATAGTAAGCCAGAATTTCAGCCCAGGAAATTAATTCTGGTTAAAATAGGAGCTTTTCTTTTTGAAAGTTCACTTTCAAACTCGAAAACTTTAGTACACAAGAGCAAAGAAACGACTCCACAAGGATACAAATTCCAGCATGTCCAGAATAACCTCGTTGTAACATGTTGGTGTGTCCCCATTATTTCATAGGTGTGATGCATCTGGGTTGGACTCTTTTCAGGATATTGATCACGTTAACTTGATTTTTCAATACAAACAAGGGATTCTATTCTTCTTAATGTACGTACTGTACATGTATACATGTACATGTACATTGTTAGATCTATAGCCATAACCCCCATAAGGCATGATACATGATTCATATGTTCCCTTATTCTGTGATACATCATGCACTGTACTGTAGCAGAGAAAATTTGAGAATAATAAAGTGTCAAATCATGCCATCCTGCCCACGCAGGTATCCCCATGGGACACATCGACACTCAGGAGTGCCATTGCATCAATTGGTTGGATAACACTGTATCGCTGTATCAATGCATTGTAACCTGTCATAAACCCTAATAGTGAGTGTGTACACACTGGCACAGAGACACCCACAAATGATGATGACTAACTTAACACACATGCTTATTTTAGCGGCTGATTCACTCTAGAGTAATGCCTGTATTAAAGGGAATATACAACATTTGCAAACATCGAAAAATAAAACTACCACGTTTTTATGAAATACTATACTAGGATGTTGGTAAGTGACAGTCTAAAGCATCCTGTAAAATTATGGCGCCTGGTGTGAAGTCGTTTTCAAGAAAATGGTATTTTTGTATACATTTCCAACGATGGTCGGCCGACCACCGTTGGAAAAACTATTTTTCAACTACTGCTCCAAATTTACCTGTTTATTCAGTCCCAATTTTGTTTGCTATTGGTTACATGTTCATGAACGGGTGCAGGCCAGCTAGACTGGTTCCCTTACCTTACAATTTTCCGGCATCTATAAATTGATCCATTTTATCTTTAGTGGGGTCAGGGAACCAGACTACTTGAACATTTTTGTTTCTCTTGGTTTTTCCAGCATTTTCGAACACAAAACTTCAAAAATGTCAGTGTAACAATATTTGATCTATCATACTAACCCCTCAAATAGTTCATTTCTGAAAATTACAGCAAAAGCCAATGATGTATATTCCCTTTAACAATGGCAATACCCGTGGCAACAAAGCATTAGCAGTGAATTGGGATTATCCTTGTTAATTCTTGAATTTCTGCAACTTTGCAATGTAATATTATTTGGTGGGATGTTCAATTTCAAAAACCAATATGCTGTAGTAAACCAATGGAATACTTGTTACAGACTACAATGTGCATGTAATAATAATATTATAATTATAATAATAATTTGGGAGGCTAATCATCCTTACTTGCAGCTGGTATGCTGAATTGCGAAGGACGCGCCCGGAGAAAAACCCTCGTGGCACAGGAGAGAACCAACGCACAACTCTACTCACATGTGATCCGCGGCCAGGATTCGAACCGTGGTCACCTTGGTGAGAGGCGAGCGCTTTACGCACAAGCCACCCATGCCAATAACAAATTTGTAATAACAAGTTTGGGACTGCAAGCTCCAATTCCCCCTGCGTGGTTTAGGTTGTAGAGACAAACATTTCCTGATCCAGTGCAATGCACATTTAATGTAGCATACGTATATTGTTTCAACATTTTTCTTTTTTTACATTTCATCTGCATGCATGCACCTCTTTTTCTATCTTACTATACATTGTTTTTTTTTATTGTACAGTACCTGAGATTAAACCGTTTTAACAAATTTATGAATGAAGTCATAATAACAAAAAGCTTATGTACTACCCAATAGATACATGTACATGTACATGTATCGGTAGGCCTACATTATATGAAGCCTGTTCACAGTACAGTGTATGCATTTACATGTACATGTATTCCACTACATGAATTTGCATTAAAACCATTGCCATGTACTTCAGGGCTACTTGTACATGTAGCATACATACAGGGAAGCAATTAAATAATCTCAATTGCACTCTTTAACAAAAAAGACACATATGTACATAAAATATGTGTGTTTTTATGTACAAAAGGGAGTACTCAGGACAACGGATACATTTCAACCTTTATCCACCATTTTTACATTGTTTTCGAGGGGGGGGGGTGGAGTTGTGAGGGAGATTCAGGAATGCACACAGAAGGATTGTCGAGAAACGACCTACAATTGATTTTTGTGGATTTCAGTTCCGAGCTGAAATTCCAGTGCAAAAGTAGTGTCAAATCTCTAATGGGAGTTTTCCTCTTCAAAAACTCTAATGGGAGTTTTCCTCTTCAAAAAATCACCCTTGAACGCTAAGCACGCTGAACCAAGATAGGAGGATACAGAGAAAAAAAGACTATTTCCTTCTGGCTGTTCTCACACTTCACTTGTCAAAGTAATGTTGGCCGTCTGTGCGCAAAATATGACTGGGGAGGAAAGACCAAAACATACCGGTAGTGCATGTTAAGCCCAAACGTGGAGCAAATTGTTTGACATCAATTACTTTGAAGTTTTTTGGTGACATTTTACCCCCACAAAAACAATTCATCTTATGGACATTTTATCCATAAATTCATTTAACCCTTACCCAACTGGACCCTCCAACGCATGCCATTATGTGCCTTAAGAAAATGGCATATGTTTCTTGCACGGCCCTCCAATATCTGCCATGTCATTTCAAGGGTAACTGGACAGGCACTCCAATACATGCCACAGAGAACAATGAGAGTCCTCTGATAACAAAGTGAGTGCCCCCAGCTGGTCAGTATCAGGCACCCTCCAGGGCCTCCAACTCCTGCCAATTGGAGCCTTCACTGTTAAGACAAACTATCTGCCAATAAACTGCAGCTGGAGGGCATTGGCATAACCAACTGACATGTAGTAAACTACCCTCAGAGAGTAAGGGTTAAAGGAAATAGACATCATCTGCAAAAGAAATTTATGTATGTATATGTTTGCCTATTCAAGGAACAATCATACAATAAATCTGAAGCAGGGGGTACCCCTAGCCCTGCCAAAATCTGCCTAAATCCACCAATTTTGTCATGTAAACAAATGTTGGTGTCCTGAGTCCATCCGAATCCACCAGTGAGTCCATCATAATCCACCAGTCTAGTACATATATACTGGTAACTCGTACACACCAAAGATATAGCCAAGGAGTTACACTGTTGAGATCCTGAATCCATCAAAGTCCCCCAACTGCTCAATATGGAGGTATCCTGAATTCATCAAAATCCTGCAGAACCGCTAGGCTTACTGTCCTAAATCCATCAAAATCCCCTAACATTTTCACTATGGAGGTATCTGGAATCCGCCGAAATCCTCCAAAACAGGGGTGCAGATTTTGATGGATTCAGGTACCAGTACATTAGAGTTAATACTTTTGGACTTGCGCTCTCTTGTGGTATGATCCAAGTTTGTCACTTGGGCAAATAATTACAGTTTTTCTCACACGCTTAAAGGGAAAATATAACATTTGCAAACATCAAAAAATATAACTACCAAATTATTTGGAAATACCTTGCTGGACTGTTAGTGAATGACAGTGTAAAGCATCCTGTAAAATCATGGCACCTGGTATACTGTCATTTTCAAGAAAAGTGGTATTTTTGTATCAAATTTCCAACGCTGGTCAGCCGACCAGCGCTGGAAAAAAACTGGCTTTTTTTCAAATACTGGCCCCAATTGACCATCGCACTTGTTTGCAATCGATTACACACCTATCAACGGGTACAAGCCAGCTAGACTGGTTCCCTGACCTTACAATTCCCCAATGTATGTAAACTGCTCTGTTTCTTCTTATATGGAGTCAGGGAACCAGACTACAGGAAAATGATTGTTTTTCTTGGCTTTTATAGCATTTTCGAACCCCAAACCTCAAAAAGTCAGTGTAACTATATTTGCTATATATTTCCAACCCCCCCCCCCCCAATTCCATCCATTTCTGAAAATTATAGCAAAAGCAAATGATGTATATTCCCTTTAATATTACTATACTTCTCACGATCATTAAACACTTACCGCATATTTTGAGAGGGGCCTCCAGCTCTAAGAGGATTGGTTGACTAAGGAACAGTTCCCGGGATTTTAGACACAGGCCCCTCACCTCTGACTCTGTCAAATTCACCGTCTTTCCCGGCCTGCATCCCCGCACTGCATAGCAAGAAAACCAAGTAGTTAGGATTGTTGGTCGATAATTATAGCAGAAAGGAATGTTATCTATACAAAGCCACAGGGGCTTGCCTGTGCCATTTACAGAATATGAATATGGCATCACATTGCTTTAATACTGGGCAGTGTACACGTGTGGTCCCAAATAGAATGGCACTGTAGCTTTTTAAAGGTATAGTCCATCATTTGTAATTTGTGCATTTTGTTCGTTTGAAGCAACAAAATTGTCAAAATCTAAAGAACGGTGCTGAACAACTAATCTGATGAAGTTTCAGCTCAGCTTCAGCTGTATATTTCGAGAAAAACAACATACTAGGATCTCGATTTCAAATCAAAAGTTGCTGAATCATGTTATGAATTGGGCCTGAATTCAGCATCCGAGATACGTTCTCACTAGCCGACTGCAGCTACGCGATGTCGCGCACTGATCCGATGAATTTTAGCAACCGCACGCGCGTGTGGGTCATGTCAACGCATGCGTGACGCTTCGCCGAATAAAAAAATTACTAGCGGAAATTTAAAACGGTGCATCTTAAGACGCACCGTTGGAAAGGCCAAAATGATAGCTTGCCAGAAAGACTGATTTCACAGGGAGTTTAGTCCCCTTACTATCTTTCAACCAAGTATGTTTTACAACAATAATTACGCCAGTTACTTTTTGGATAGCTGGAAATGATGGACTCTGGCTTTAACCAATCGAGCTACTAAAGTGCTCTGGTTGAAATGGCAGTTATAAGTGTTAAAAGGAGTCGCAATGGTGTTTTTGCAATGCTGTAATGATAGCAGATAAAATGGCTTTACGGCTTCAGTAACGACAGCCACTACGTATGTTTTAACTAGTTATCAGGATGCACCATGGCACATTTTTATAGCGATCGTGTAGTGTAGGGCCCCTGTTTTGTTTTGATCAAAATTAGAATCAAGAATTGTTTTTATTACTAAAAATGACATTGACAACCTAAAGCAGACTTTTTGGTAATTGTTGAACAGTTTCTTGGGGTAGAAATTACGATTTTCCTACACGGTTTACGGGCCAGTTGATGCCATGTAGCGCGAATTGCGTGCCCGCGGCACATCGCACGGTGATCGCCAACTTTTATTTTCGTGTTGCGTTTTGTCGTTGTCATTGTCATTTTACCACCAAATTAACCTCAAAAAATCAAAACCCTGCCCTTTATCTATGTCATACCTGTATGTTCTTAATGTCGCCAACTAGTTTGGTAGGTCAGATGATTTGTAAGTGAATTTTGTTCCTTCATTCTAGGAACCAGGCCCGTAGACACGATCGCCATATTAGTATTGTTTTTGGACCATCAGGCCGATTGTTTTTGAAAAAATCTGAGCTTTACTCATCACCCTCCACACATTTCTGATCCAACGAAAACACAGGCATGACAGGCCATGCCTTGTGTGTACGTGTAAGACAATTGAAATGCATGTTGCATGAATATTGTTGTAGAATCAGTTGTTAAAAAATAGTAGAGCTTTAAGCAAAAATCTAGGCCTAAGTTTCAGGGTAATTCAGCAAAACTATCAAATCACTGTATCCACGATCAAGAATTTCAAGACATACGAGAACACAATAGTGGTGTTCCCTAACGTGGCGCACTTCGACATTTACCCCGACTTTCCACATCAGTGTTGCCAAACTTCTTTGTTGACAAACTTCAAATTCATTCAGTGAAATACTGGTATTTTTTACCTTATTAGTCCTTGCTATTTAACCTTTAATGTTAACAATTTCGGTTTCATGAAATTTAATCCGAAATTCAACAACAGTGGCGTCCGGAAATTGGGCACAAATCGGCTGAGTGTTCCCCAATGTCATGAATGTGGCGCACTTGAATAAATGTCGGAAAATTCCAAATTAACATTTAAGAATTTCAGTAAAGTTGATAAATTCTGATAAACAATTATTATCTGTACTTAGGCCCCTGCATACCCAACTAGAAGTTCGTCACAATGTCAGAAAATTATTTTCTATTTTATTCGGGACATTTTCAAAGGGTTCACTGTGCACTTCGAAAAAAATCGGAAAATAACAGCTGGTAGGCCCTATCTCGTGATTTATAAACAGGAGTCATGGGAGTGTTAAGATAATTAGAACTTGATGAAATTTCACTTTCTGTGAAATTCCGATTAAAACTTTTGCTCAAGCTAGGCGCAGCTAGCCCCACTTGTGTGGCCTCGCTATTGCTGCGCTGTACGTTCGGCCACACGTCTGGTTTTCCAACTACTGAGGAGTTTAGTCCAAACACCGGCGCACATTTTTGGGGCATTTGTTTGAATACCGCTGCATACGGTTGTATTGTATGATGTCTCATCTTTTGCCAAAACTTTTCTGAGAAATTTAGAATAGTATCTTTCTGGAGTCCATAGATGCCATTTTCGGACTAAACTCCTCAGTAAGTTGGGCCTAACCAGACGTGTGGCCTAACGTATGGCGCAGCATTAGCAATACCAAGGCCACAAATGTGGGGCCTTGGCGCAGCGGGCAAAAAATCAAAGTGCGCCATGTTAGGGGCCATGCCACGTTAGAGTAGGGGGGGTCAGACAAGTCGACCGTTGAGACAACTCGACTCGAGACAAGTCGACCGTTGAGACAACTCGACCGTTGAGACAACTCGACCGTATGTGCGATAAATGGAAAGACAAGTCGACCGTTGAGACAAGTCGACCGTTAAGACAAGTCGCCTCGCATGTTTTTGTTGCTAGTTTTGGGGATAGTCGCGGGGATTTTGACGGCGGCTGATCGCCGTTTGGGAGTGATGACACATGAGTTGTTTTTTTTTGTTGGATATAACCATGATAGCAGAGCCGATATAGCGCAGCCGGGCCTGTGCGCGCACTTATCCCCGGTCAGCGTCGGCCGTACCGTGCACGGTGACATCGTTTATGCCGGGCCTGTGCGCCCACTTGCCGCCCCGGTCGACGTGCCCGCGTGCCGGGCCGGGCCCGGTCCTCGCTGGCGGGGCGCGCCGGCCCGACGCGACGGCCACCGGATTGGAACGCCCTCTGTGCATCAAGTTTGCCCGCGCCGCGTCCGGGATCGCAACTTTTTCCCGCTCCACGTGTATACATTTCCGTTAAGTCGAGCTGTCTCAACGGTCGAGTTGTCCCGAGTCGAGTTGTCTCAACGGGCGACTTGTCTCAACGGTCGACTTGTCTCAACGGTCGACTTGTCCCAAGTCGAGTTGTCTCAACGGTCGACTTGTCTGACATCCAGAGTAGGCCTACATCAACAATATTCACTAACTTTGTGATCGAATCCGGAATGTCTGATCCCGCCTTCCTACCTCCATAAGTAAGACATGCATGACATGTTGTTAAAGTTATGTTGTTGTTACTTGTTCAGTTGTTACTTAGACATTGTTTGTCATGTTTGTTAGTCTGGTAATTCTTACTTTTAGGACACCTCTATTTTTTACGAGTTCTGTTCAAAACTCAAATCAAAGCCCTGCCCTCTTTCCACAAAATAAAACCTGATGATATTCAAGGTGTCATTGCCAATTTTTCAGATGTGCCAAGAAGTATCAGAATGTCTATTTTGAGTGTCATTTAGTCAACTGTTTTTGTTGAGTCTTTCCCTTCCTATATATACGAACGGGGTCCGATCCTAAAAAGTAAGGATTACCGTTAGTTTTGTTAGATTTTGAACACATCGAAAAAGCTCAATAAAACACGGTTCATAGTGAATCAGACAGAGCGAGAACTCTGGCATGTGAAATTATTAACCCCTTACCAAATATATCCATATTATTGATAAGAAATGGAGTTTAAAGGACAATATTCACCTTCTAAAAGCCGGGTAATGATGCTGTCGATGTTCAGTTCGCCGTCCGCCATTTTGAGAGACAGAATGACGTCAGAAGCGGAACTTCTTCCTTAAATGGCAAAAAAGTTGACGCAGCATACGTCGTAGGTGGCGCCATTACCATCGGGTGATCATCGCCCATAAAAATAAACAACATGTGCATAATGAGGCGGCGTTGCTAGCTACATCAATAGCCATGTAGTTTGTCGCGTCGAAACCCATGTTTAGAACTTTAATTTTTAGATAGGCAAACAATAAACTCTCGTCAACTCAAAGCTTAAGGAAATGGATGAAAAAAAATCGAGGTATCATAGTCCGGAGTTCCAGTGTATATGATGAGCCTAGCATTTTGACGGTGCGGACTGTCTAAGCATGGAGGTAGGTTTCCTACCTCCATGGTCTAAGTTGTCAGCACCGGGCCAAAAATGTAAAAGCCATGCCATATCGGAGTTCTTAAACTTGAAAGCTCGGAAGCTGCGGGCCAAAATTAATGTTTTAAGCCCCATTTAATGGAATTATTAAATTCAATCCCTAACGTTTGCCTACATTCTTCTGTTCCACTTGACTTGGGTTTTTTTTTTCAATTTTGTATTTCCAATAAGTGGTAGGCCATTCGGCTTTCTAGAGTTCTTCTAAATAATGGGCGGAGAAACGTGGAACACTGGTGGGTCCATATCTGTTTGGGCTCCATGGACGGAAAGAAGTTGACATTTCGGGCAAAAAGGAGCCCACTTTTTTTCATTTCTTGCGTTGAGGAGCGGGTCCAGGAATTTTAGCGGGGGGGGGGGGGGGAGGGGGAGGGTTCAGGCCCGTTAGAGATGTTTACTATCCGATTGCTGCGGACAGGTAGATCTTATCATCATTATAATAATGTTATACATTTTTGGTGCGCGTCAGAAGGGGGTGGGGTTGGCGGGGGGGGGGGGAGGGGGTTCGAACCCCTCTCAGGGGATCCGCGCCTGACTTCTACTCTTTTTACAAAGATTCTCAACTCAAGTCCCCTACTACTATTTTAAAATCGTACGGACGTCTTTGCTTTAAAAAGGAAGCCTTTTTACGGATTTGTTTGTTAATACTGTATATGAGACCTACATGCATATTCCATTCGCTGTTCCCAACAGTCCTTCGTCAGCCTGTTATCAAACATTATTTTCGTGAAAAATGATATGAACTGGAACATCTCATCCTTAATTTCACAAAAAAAAACGACTTTTAAAATGTAGACAACATTTCACCAGGACATGCACGGCATTACACTGGGGGCGCTGTTCATGATACCGATGTGCATAGCGCGTCGCTCGTACCCCGCCCTGCAGCTTGGGCCTATAGGACGCTTAGTGGCCAGGAAGGGCTGACGAGCTTCACAGAATCTTGTGAAGGACGGTGGGGATGGAATTCTGGGTAACTTATCATGGCCTGTATATCAAGACATAATGAAAGTTTCTTTAGCTGTTTTAGGGTGCAGGTAGTCCGGCTCCCAAGACCCCATTGTCCTTTGGACTTCATAATATCTTTAGGGTCGCAGACCAGTAAATGGGCCCAAATTTGCCTACGCCGGCCAAATCACGATTTGCATGCCCTCAAAATCTTCAGTATTTGAGAGTATTGTGGGCCATGAACTTGAGGGTTTGTAAAAACTATGAGTGGAGCCGTGCACAGGACTTTGCGCTTGCAGTTCTGTGTAATTTGGATGAAATTGGGACCCTAAAAGCGCTCTATTTCACAATGGAGTGTAGGCACCGTTTTTTTTAAATGGCGATGGGCTTCAGGACTATTTTAAGGGGTGATCATATTCGAATGAAAGTTTCTCCCAAAGGTCATCAGATTACCCTCAAAAAATTTAGAAAAAAGGAAGATGCTAAAATAAGCTTCAGTTTTGATGTGTATCTCGAACACCTTGGAGAGTAAATTGTGAGTATTTTTGCTGACTTTCTGAAGTGGGGGCATTTATCATTTATTGCACCCATAGGGGCACTGTCAAAAGCGGACACTCATGCACACACTCGCACGTAGGCGGCGCTCTTCATCCCTGCCGTCTGACGTGCACGCTTTTTTCCGACCGGCCATGTCGCCGCCCCGATTTTGCTTCTATCAGCGTCCCCGCCTGGCTCGCTCTTAAAATCTGTAGCCCGTTGCAATTTGCCACTCTGCACCCCCCCCCCCCCTTTCCCACTTCCCTGAGGGGGGTAAAATAGGCGCTTAGAATGTCGGTAAAAGGAGAAACAAATATCCAGCAAGGCAGCACTGAACTATTTTTCAGAGATCAGCGAAATACTGCATCGTCACGCACGTATACCCCAACTTTGTAAATAAAAATCCCAAAATGTACCTCCTTACTTTTTCACTTTGGAACTACATGTCAAAAATATGTCCTACTTCTTATTCTTAATTAAATCAACCTGTTGTTTATCAATGGAATTAAACTAAACATTCATATCATGTCGACAAGGCACGACAAATCATTGTGTGGGGCGAGTTTCATCAGCTTTGTTCGAGAGGATGAGATTAAACGCCTCGCGAAAACAAATACTCCCTTTCAGAGCCGAACGGAACTGCAGGAGATGGCAGCGGAAGGCGCGTGCTGCTGCCGAACGCTTCTGAAAAAAATGAAGGGTCATCCCTGATGTCATTGCACACTACTCGATCATGTGTTGCGCAAAACGATCGAGGAGGTGCAGGCGCGGATCTGGGGGAGGGGGGTCCCCCATCTCCATGGGCGTCGCCAGGACTTTTTCTAACGGGGGAAACACAATTTGTCGAGTCTTTTACGAGTCTTTCCAGGAGGTTTGGAGCATTTTCACTTTTGAAAGAAAATTGACAAAAATTGCAAGGGGTTGGTTAGCCTAACATTTTTCATAAAAATTAGCTAAAATATATATCTGTCCGTAAATCGAGTTGGAATGCGTTCCAGGGGACCTTACGAGTCTTTCCCGGAAGTTTGGAGCAATTTCATTTTTTTTGACGAAAATTGACAAAATTGCAAGGGGTTAGCCTTACATTTTTCATAAAAATTGGCTAAAATATACATTTCTTTTTAATAATATATCTGTCCCTAAATCGAGTTGGAATGTGTTCCAGGGTCCCTTAGGAGTCCTTACAGGAAGTTTGGAGCAGTTTCATTTTTTTTTTGAAGAAAATTGAAAAACATTGCAAGATGTTAGCCCTACATTTTTATAAAAATTGGCTAAAATATAAATTTCTTTTTAATAATATATCCGTCCCTAAATCGAGTTGGAATGTGTTCCTGGGTCCCTTGGGAGTCCTCCCAGGAAATTTTGGAGCATTTTCATTTTTTTGACGAAAATTGAGAAAATTGCAAGGGGTTAGCCTTACATTTTTCATAAAAATTGGCTAAAATATACATTTCTTTTTAATAATATATCTGTCCCTAAATCGAGTTGGAATGTGTTCCAGGGTCCCTTAGGAGTCCTCCCAGGAAGTTTGGAGCATTTTCATTTTTTTGACGAAAATTGACAAAATTGCAAGGGGTTAACCTTACATTTTTCATAAAAATTGTCTAAAATATACATTTCTTTTTAATAATATATCTGTCCTTAAATCGATTTGGAATGTGTTCCAGGGTCCCTTAGGAGTCCTTCCAGGAAGTTTGTAGCATTTTCATTTTTTGACCGAAATTGATAAACATTGCAAGGGGTTAGCCTTTCATTTTTCATAAAAATTGGCTAAAATATACATTTCTTTTTAATAATATATCTGTCCTTAAATCGAGTTGGAATGTGTTCCAGGGTCCCTTAGGAGTCCTTACAGGAAGTTTGGAGCAGTTTCATTTTTTTTGAAGAAAATTGAAAAACATTGCAAGATGTTAGCCTTACATTTTTATAAAAATTGGCTAAAATATAAATTTCTTTTTAATAATATATCTGTCCCTAAATCGAGTTGGAATGTGTTCCAGGGTCCCTTAGGAGTCCTCCCAGGAAGTTTGGAGCATTTTCATTTTTTTGACGAAAATTGACAAAATTGCAAGGGGTTAGCCTTACATTTTTCATAAAAATTGGCTAAAATATACATTTCTTTTTAATAATATATCTGTCCTTAAATCGAGTTGGAATGTGTTCTAGGGTCCCTTAGGAGTCCTTCCAGGAAGTTTGGAGCATTTTCATTTTTTGACCGAAATTGATCAACATTGCAAGGGGTTAACCTTACATTTTTCATAAAAATTGCCTAAAATATAAATTTCTTTTTAATAATATATCTGTCCCTAAATCGAGTTGGAATGTGTTCCAGGGTCCCTTAGGAGTCCTTCCAGGAAGTTTGGAGCATTTTCATTTTTTGTGAAGAATATTGACAAAAATTGCAAGATGTTAGCCTTACATTTTTCATAAAAATTGGCTAAAATATAAATTTCTTTTTAATAATATATCTGTCCCTAAATCGAGTTGGAATGTGTTCCAGGGTCCCTTAGGAGTTCTCCCAGGAAGTTTGGAGCATTTTCATTTTTTTTTTGACGAAAATTGACAAAAATTGCAAGATGTTAGCCTTACTTTTTTATAAAAATTGGCTAAAATATACATTTCTTTTTAATAATATATCTGTCCCTAAATCGAGTTGGAATGTGTTCCAGGGTCCCTTAGGAGTCCTCCCAGGAAGTTTGGAGCATTTTCATTTTTTTTGACGAAAATTGACAAAAATTGCAAGATGTTAGCCTTACTTTTTTATAAAAATTGGCTAAAATATAAATTTCTTTTTAATAATATATCTGTCCCTAAATCGAGTTGGAATGTGTTCCAGGGTCCCTTAGGAGTCCTCCCAGGAAGTTTGGAGCAGTTTCATTTTTTTGACGAAAATTGACAAAAATTGCAAGGGGTTAGCCTTGCAGGAGACTGCGGCGGAAGGCACGTGCTGCTGCCGAAAGCTTCTGAAGAAATGCAGGGTCATCCCCGATGTCATTGCACACTACCTGATCATGCATTGCGCAAAACGATCGAGGAGGTGCAGTCGTGGATCTGGGGGAGGGGGGTCCCCCACCTCCATGGGCGTGGCCAGGATTTTTTCTAGAGGGGGGCAAAAAAAAATTCACCGAAAAATTCTTGTCTTTCTCAACAAATTCTCGATTTATCAGTTAAAGAGGGTGGCAGGTACATTTTGGATCCCCCCAACTCGTTA